AGTATCATAGTTGTTCAATATTTTTTCTCAAATTTTTCAGCATTATCATTCATATTTTCTTCTTTTTTTTTTTTTTGCAAAATATTTCCTTATCCTCCTTTTTTGGATAAAGCATTATAACTGATTTAACCACCCACTGATTTGATCCATGGCTCACTGTGTACCTCTGGGGAGAAAGTGAGTCTCGTGGCAACACGAAGTTCCCATGGGACTGTTAGCAACTGCAGTTAGTCATGTTTGCCAATACATGGCCATATTTTACATACTTCTTAAATGAAAGATGGTTACCAGAGATATGAAAAAATATGCAAATGTTTGAAAATTTGAAATATCTACTATTCAGGGCTTCCAGAATGGTGTGAAATTTGAGCCATTTCTAAAGTGATTAACAATTTAAAACTAAATGTTATAATGTTTGAATAGGAAAGAGTGCTCAAAATGTTGCAGATACAGGATGCTTAAACCCATGAATAGCCTGCTATTATATCTTGCCATCAGTAAAGTATTGCAAATCAAGCGTTTCATCATGTGGTAACTTGTGATTCTTAGGTCTTCACTTTGCACTGTAGCACTCTATATGTACTGTTATACTGTTAACTTAAACCAACTTTGTACCTTCTCTGAGATTGTACTTCAAAGCCCTGTACCTGATTTCATTTTTTGTTCCCCATGTTTTTGAGTAAATTTATTTTATCCCATCATAAATATATTGTATAAACCACTCTTGAGGCCAAAATATGTCTGCTGTGTGCTTTCTACATCTGATTAGATGGCTTTTTATTTAACTCCACTCAGCTCTCTGACCTCCTCATAATGTTACAAGATCTGTTTTTCACGTTTTTAAGATCGTCAAAATATGATTCAGTGCATTTCAAATAATTCACTTACACATAGGTTTTTGCAAAGAAAAACTTGATTGGCGTGTCCCAGCCCCCCATCCACAAACCCACAAAGTGCTGTCATGCCCACACTGTCATGTCACGTCACGTTGATAAGGCGTTGTCCTGGTTCATGATGGATCCGTGCGTGAGTGTCTCCTCCAGGTTCCAACCTGAATCACTGTAATCACATGCAAGCCGTCTCCTGTTTATTTCAACCTCATCTTTCCACCGCTCTGTGCCCTGTCCCATCTCACATTCACAGAGAAGCTGTTGGTTTCTTACATCCTTGCCTAATGCTTTTGTGGTAGATTTATGATGTGATTCACTCTGGTTCTTCTTATTTGCTCAACCAAATATTGCATTCAAATGGATTAAAACAAGATAATGAGCAGTGTCTTAGAAGTTAGCAGTTTGAGTGGTTTAGAATGCTTTGAATGTATGGTATACCATAATCAAATTACATCACAGTTTGAGCTAGCAAAATTATCAAGTCTAGCAATTATTTAGATAATAGAATGTTCTCTGAAAAAAAAAAACATGTTCTGAAATGCATAAGATTCTTGTATTAGTTTAATAAGTTAATATTTAAATCTTAAGTCAGTCTCCTGGACTTGTTTACAAAATTCAGTTTCTTCCCCCAAATTGTGAAAGACTATTTAAAATGCATTGTGTCACAAGTAAGAAACTACCCATATTTAACGTTAAAAACAATAACCATTTTATGTTAGCCGCACTCACTTGAATGGCTTTCTCTCTTTCTTTTCGTTAATAATCCTGCGTTAACTGTTGATCTGCTGGGGAAAGCTGTGTGCTTAGCTGCATGCTTTTTGGATCGTAAGCTTTATTGACTCACTCAGCCCATTTAAACAAAACTACACTGAGAGGTAGTGTCTGTAGTTGTATTGATTTGTAACTCTAACCGCTGGTTCACTGAAAGAGAGCAAATGTGGTCTATTACACCTCATAATTCTTGCAGAAAGAATGTACAACGGCCTGGAAATCAAGTTTTTCAGACATTTGCCGTTTGAATTTAAGCCTGTCCCTTTGTGATGTAGACAGCACAGTAAGAGATTATAAAAAAGGTTGCTCCCAAAATATAGCTAATTTAACAGTTTAAAGGTGCACTGTGCAACCTTTCTGATGAGGGGTCCGCCACCTACTAACTCCATGGAGATGTTATTCTTTTGCCTGGAATGTTTGACAATATGTCATTAAACTTATCTACAAGCATTTATTTCATTTTTCCATTCTTACTGTGAGCGATGTTATTACTCCAGAAATCTGATTTGTAACTTGCTGTGGTAGCGTGCTAAAAGAAAAGAAAACTTCCAGCAGCCATCACATCCAAGTGTAGAAATTGCACCTTGAGGCTAATATTGTCCATTGCCGCTTCAGTAGCTGCAAAACATGCTTTCTGAATAGAGCTGGTGGTTGCTTTTTATCACCCTTTTCCACCATCTTGTTTAAAGCCTGTCCTCACCCGTCTGCAAATGCATCCTCTTTGAATAGGATCTCACCAGACCCTTTCAGCTTAGGCTCTGTGGCGTATGAAAGTAAGTGCAGTCTCCTGTGAAGACGTCATCACAAGGAAGATGAGTGTGCACTATTGTGATGGCAGTGGAGACGTAACGGCTAACTCTCCTCCGCTCCTCTCGCCCGAAGGTGAAGGCAAACTTAAGGGGTCTGTCCACACATGTGCAGCAACAAAGAGCGCCACCTGCAAAAAGGAAAAGGAGGAAAGAAAACAGGACGGTAGTAGTAAAAAAAAAAGGAAATATAAACCAAAAAACAAATGGTACGTTACTATGAGGTCTTATATTTGTTCTGATAAAGCTCAAAATAAGGCTAAAACTGTTCATGTAAACTCAGATTTTGATGTGATTTATTTATTTATTTTTCTTCTCCAGTAGCGTTACTAGCTCATATAAGTAGGCCTGTCTAAGATTGTTTACAATAATACAAACTTTCAAAATGCCACAAAAAAGCTTAAAATTGTAAATTGTAAACTGTACACGTTTGCACGTTTGCCTTTTTACAGCCTTCACATTTACCTGACACTTAACCTCAACCAACACATTTATAGACATGTTTTAGCACATTTCTGTTTTATCATCAGAATATTGTTATCAGAATAATATATATATATATATATATATATATATATATATATATATATATATATATATATATATATATATATATATATATATATATATATATATATATATATATATATATATATACTGTCTCAGACAGTGGGGTCCAGAGGAAGAGGTACTGGAGGGACCATCATGGCAGGACAAACCCCTACATGGGGCGTACCACCGGAACATAACTGAAGTGGCTGATATCAAGAAATCCTACCAATGGCTTGAGAGGGCTGGTCTGAAGGACAGCACAGAGGCACTGATCCTGGCTGCTCAGGAGCAGGCCCTGGGCACTCGAGCAATAGAGGCCCAGATCTACCACACCAGACAAGACCCACGGTGTAGACTGTGCAAAGAGGCTCCTGAGACAGTCCAGCACATAACTGCGGGGTGTAAGATGCTGGCAGGGAAAGCATACATGGAGCGACATAACCAAGTGGCGGGCATAGTGTACAGAAACATCTGTGCAGAGTACGGGCTGGAGACCCCAGGATCAAGGTGGGAAACACCTCCAAGGGTTGTGGAGAATGACCGAGCCAAGATCCTGTGGGACTTCCAGATACAGACTGACAGAATGGTGATGGCGAACCAACCAGACATAGTGGTGGTTGATAAGAAACAGAGCAGAGCCGTGGTGGTGGACATCGCAATACCAAGCGATGGTAATATCAGGAAAAAGGAACACGAGAAGCTAGAGAAATACCAGGGGCTCAAGGAAGAGCTGGAGAGAGCCTGGAAAGTAAAGGCATCAGTGGTGCCTGTGGTGATCGGAGCACTCGGGGCTGTAACCCCCAAACTGGAAGAGTGGCTACAACAGATACCGGGAAAAACAACGGACATTCAGTCCAGAAAAGTGCAGTACTGGGAACAGCAAAGATACTGCGCAGAACTCTCAAGCTCCCAGGCCTCTGGTAGAGGACCCGAGCTCAATGAGGGTGAGAGAGACCTACCACCGTGGAAGGTGAGAAACACATTTATATATATTATATTATATATGATATATATATATATATATATAATGTATATATATCTCTTAAGATCTTTTTTTTCTTCAGTATTTAGCTCTTCTCTATACCAGTTGCTTTTTGTTTGTCAACTACACCTAAGCCACAACTTTAACAAGCTGTATAGTTACAATCTCAATTTTATTGAGTTGATAAAACTTGTACTTTGCCTTTATTTTTATGAAATGTGAAATGAGCTCGTAATTTTGAGTTAGCAAATGGTCTCTTTACATACATTTGTAGGACCAACTAGGCTGTTGGCTGAACCGATGCCCCAATCAAGCAATTGCTTGTAGTTCAGTCAGATTCCAGTTACCAGTATATGTTTAGGTGCATCCAGCACAGTCAGGCATACAGTATGCTCCATGTTATGGGGTATTTTGCATGCCCACTTTTCTAGCCATTATAAAGATTTTCAAGAAATTGAGAAAGTCTATTTTAGTGTCTTGGAGAGAAGTCTGACACTATTAACATTACAAGTAATTCAACAGGGAAATATTTCAATGGCACATTCTGCTTCAACTTGTCTGGCCTAGTTTTTCAGTGTAGTGATGACTCTATGTGGCAGACATCCACACTTTGCATATCAGATAAAACCTTGGCTGTGCTGGCTGCCTCATGTCTTTTTATGTCACAAACCCACTGGCCAAGTTGGCAAAGCATACATCACCAAGTTTGTAAGAAACTCTAAGCAAAAAGAAAGTAACAATCCATGTTGTAGTGAATTTGAGCTTGATATTTCTTTTATGAGCTACTACTCCCCTTCCATAATATCACTTTATATTAAACACCTAAACTTTGCCTACAACCACATTTCAAATAGAGCTACTATCTTGGGCAATACCTGGAGGATTAAAGAAGACGAAATCACAGTGGCCTTGTGTAATAGCCCTGTACTTTTAATGTCTATTGATAAATAATTTATTCTATAAATTCTATAATTTTATGTGTATTTTTGTGTTTTGCAGGATGAGACCGGAGCCTACGTCATCGACAGAGACCCCACTTACTTTGGTCCCATCTTGAACTACCTGCGACATGGCAAGCTGGTTTACAACAAGGAACTGGCTGAAGAAGGTCTGGCTATCATTGGTGTAGTTTGCTTTCACTTCAACAAGCTTAAACGTTATCTAAAATTTGCACTGTTATTATTTTTGTACTTTTTGATTTTGCTAGGCGTCCTGGAAGAAGCAGAGTTTTACAATATCACACCACTCATCAAACTGATCAAAGAGAGGATCATTGAGAGAGACTCCAAAGCTACACAGGTATAAGATGGGACCAGCTTACACTTACATAACACAGATGTATAGAAATCCGGTCATGCGTTAAGAGTACATATATTATTTACAGTACAACCTTATGTTAACTAGCATCTTTAAAGAGCCTTCTTAAGTGCAATAACGCCTTTGGACTTTGTCAGTGATTTCACACTTCTGTGCTCCTTATAAGAGGATACTATTATGTACTAAGATCTACTGCTCAGAGCTACACTGGATTATATAATGTGATTGTGTGGGTCTCCCGAGCTACTCCCGAGCTACCCCCTCGCTCACTGGCTTCCACTGTATTTTACTGCACATACTGGTGTCATTTGCCTAGAGGTAAATGTGGTGTGGAGCTCTGGCATTTGCACAGAAAGGATGCAGGCTCTGTAGGCAGCCAACGACCATCATGTATTTTTAGATTTATACATGCACTCGCAGCACTACCCACGGACTGTTTCAGATGGGCGTGTTTTTTCTTACTCTAACTTCTCAGTATGGAGTTTTGTTGGTTATATAACTTGGATTTATTTAAATATACTGTAATGTGTTAATACTTGGGGACAATGAAGCAATGGTATACTGCAATTTTGACCTTTTTTAAAAATTCAGTTAATCAGTATAAGTTTATTAATACCTGAATGTCATTTTTAAGCACATTGAATAGCTAAAATATAATAATAGAAAACTCAGATATTAGTGCAGTTTAGCAGTAGTTCTTAAGTGATGCTAAAGGGATGGGTTACGATTTAAATTTTTCTTGAGCATTTCATTTGCTTGTAGTAGCGTAAAATTGCCTTTAATAAGCCAATGAGAAGGGTAGGTATGGAAAAGTATCATAGTATAGCACTACATTAAAGGAACTTTATGTAACCAGTGCCCTTAGTTTTAAAAAAGAGTAGATTCATGCCTCACGTGAAAGCCCTGAGGCTGCACTAGCACTATTACTACAACCAACTGCATTTAAGATTCTGATTTGATAACTGTCTTGTAAACTAAAACTAAATTATAATATAATTTTGTGCTTATGTTTATTTCTTAAATATGGGGCAGTGCACATTAATCAGCATGTGTTAGTACAGTTGTAAAAGTGCCAGAGTTTGCTATGTAGGCTCATTTTCATCTGTAGTCCCATTGCAAGACAAAAAACAGGACATGGGCACAAAACATTGTCCATCACATGACAAAGACATTAAAGATGTGTGAATACAAAACATAGTAATATTAGTAAAATTAGAACCTGCTAAAAGCACACACAGCACACAGATTAAAGACAAAAATCACAATCACTCAACAAGAGAGATATTTGCTATGTGATGAACAGACAGTTTTGTTTGCATATCTTTTTTTTGTAATAATTCTATGACTAATTTATTTTTTACCAGTAAAATCTATATTTCATTTGAACATGTCTAACTGGTATCTGAGAACACAGAGGTCAAGTTTATGAAATTTAAAAAACAAACTCTTATGTACAATTCATTTAAACAGAAATGCACTGAATCATGGTATGACACAATCAATAATAATATTTTGTTAGGGATCAGATTACAGTTGTCATACCGCTCAGCCCTACACTAAACAGAAAAAATGAACTCCCATTAGATTACATTTGTCCTGTTCCTCCTAATGCGCCCGCTGTGTCTGTGGTGTCCTCCAGCAGGTCCCCCCTAAGCACGTGTACCGGGTGCTGCAGTGCCAGGAGGAGGAGCTGACCCAGATGGTGTCCACCATGTCGGACGGCTGGAAGTTTGAGCAGGTCAGCGTGCGCGCCTGCAGAAAGCCCCGCACCGGACTGCTCTGGACTGTGGGTTGGACTCACGCTGCTGCTGCCCCTTCAGTAGTCTCCCTTTTGGCCTGACCCCTCAGCCCCCGACATCAGCCCCCATGTGATTTGTATACCTCCACCTAGAGCAGTGCACGATAGGGCTGCATCACGGAAAGAGATGAGTAATGCAGGGATAGAAGATTGGAGGAGGTTTAATGTGGCATGAATCCTTTTGGCAACTTGTGATTTATTTATGTTTATTTGCAACCAATATTTTAATTTGAAGGGAAAGGAAAGGCAAACTATATTGTCACTTAGGAACATATTCAGCAATAATAAAACATTCTCCTTATTTGCTGATAAATTTTAAACTCTGAAAACAAAACCTCTTTTGCTGGTCTTCTGGGGTATGATTTTAAGTAGCTATATTTAAACATGTAAACTTAAATTTGGTACTGTTTAAATTGGTCAAATTCAATGCACTGTACCTTATTTTTACCGTCTTACAAACGCAATGTGTAGATTTTAGTTGATTTTACTGAAATTTTATTGATCCAAAGCAAAACAGTATCACAGTAAAAATGAAATGCAATATCAACTAAACCCCTGACACAAATAAAATAAACTTGCATAACTTCATAACAAATTCAGTGCATTTACATTTTTAGAAACATTTGTAGATGTACACTGCAGGTGCCGTGAGCTTTAACCTTTGTAAATGTAACTTTTTGATGAAGTAGTTATACCCCGACCTCCACCTCACATCCTCCTGGTCTCAGGTCAGCGGTCCCATATAACATAGAACCAGAGCTTTTCTTTTACATTCAGACTCCCTCTCCCCCAGCATCCCCAACTCTCCCTCCCCAAACTGCCAACGCATGCACGCCACTTTTTGCTTCGCACAGCCCCCCTCTCCTCACCTTAAAGAAGCCATGTTATTTCCACCCCCCGTCACTGTCCCGAGCTGTGGCGTCCTCTTCTACTCGTGTGCAGCAGGGTGTCCTCTCTGTGGTCGCTCTGCATGCTGGCTTTGGTTTAGCTTCGTTTTAGTAGCTTTTTCTGCTAATCTTGGCTTCTTTCTTTTGCATTTTCGGTTGTTCTTTTAACTCATGTTTCTCCTCTCCTTTTTTAAATCTTTCTTACTTGTTTCTCTTTAGATGGTCAATATCGGTTCCTCATACAGCTATGGGACAGAAGACCAGGCAGAGTTCCTGTGTGTAGTGTCCAAGGAGCTGCACACACCAGGGTCAGGGCTGGGCACAGAGCAGAGCCACAAAACCAAGGTAAAATTTCATTTTAAACCAGCGTCAGTTGTCGGTTTGTATTTTTTGTTTTCATTTTTTATTGCTGTGAATGCTTGTGTCTTAACCGCAGACCACAGACCTGGCATTCAAATCCAAGCCAACAAGCAGAAAGAAAAAAATACCTAGTAGGCCAAAATGGGTAAAATAGTTAGATTAGGTTTATACTGCGGCATACATGCATTTCAAAATTCTCAAAGCTTTATATTAGACATTATTTGTGCACTACTCCTCAGTCACACATTGTTACATCAGATGCCCTGCAGACTGATGTGACAGCCAATAAAGGTGTACTATGTAACTTTTCTGATGAAGGGTGCTTGTCACAAAGGAGATGTTACTCTTCACAGCATATTGAAAATATTGTTCTGGAGCCAAGTTTAATGTCAGAACTGTGGAGAAGCAAGCTGGCACATTTTACAAATGCATGCCTTCAAGATACTTTTGAGTGATGTACTGCACACATCCATTATTGAATAAATGCTAGTTGGATAAGACATACTGTGGAATATTCCAGGCATAGCAATTAGGGATGGGCAATTGGCACCAGTATTGGTATCGGTCAATATTGATTCTCAGTATCAATATTTAATAGTGCTATTTTTTCATAATTTCTGAGTGCCCTTTTCTAAGGGACTAATGAGTCAAAATGGAAATAGAAAAGCATTATATGGCTGTATTTTACACAAACATATAACAAATTGTTTTATAGCCAACAATTTGGTATAATTTTTTACAAAAGTGAAAAGTTTATTTGTCATTGTTACTTAAACTTAAAGGTTGTATGGAGGATTTTTTTTGGTTTCAAATTGTCAATGATAGCATTATAGAGGTGCAGTAGCCTTGTAATTATGATGACCAAAAAAAAGAGAATAAAAATTCATCAACTCTGGACGTGGTGGGGCCAGCTAAACATTTGCCAATAGATAACGACACTGCCTCGTTATCTGTTAGCTGACAGGCTGTCAATCAATCTCCCTACGTTTCTAGCGTAACTGACTTGCCTGCGCGCCGCTGGTACGTGGTTTACGTACGCCTGTCACACAGTCCACAGACGCAAGCCGCACAGACGCTGTTTACTCCACCAACGCAACAGTTCTTAGCGGCTTTTTTTTACCTATATCTTCCTCGCAGTTAGCACAAAGTTTGTTGCAATGGCAGACAAGAATCCAGGAGCAGTTAGCCGCAAAAGAAAGTCAGTTTTTGAGATTGCTGAAAGAAGAAGACAAGGGGAAAAGCAGCGAAGCCAAACTAAGGTGATTCTTGAAGATTCATTCCAGCGATGGCGCGACTGAAGCAGACGCAGGGTCTAAAGACTGACGCACTGGTCGCCAAATTACTCCTGGACAGGTCACTTCTGCTTATTATGAAAACGTACTTTATTTCCAAGAGCTAGACAAACGTTTTTCAGGACACGAAAGCGATATCCTATGTCTGAAAACGTAATTTTCAATGCAAAGAAAGAGTCCGCTTGCTGCTGCGTGTTGTAGCTAGTTCATTCGCAGTGAATCTCCGCGCACCCCTCTCTGCACCCCTTTCCTGCTCCTCTCCCCGCTGCCCGATCCGCTCTTCCCCCCTGCTCCTCACTTCTCCGGGCACGGAATCTCCGCGCACCGCTCCCCTCTCCTCTCTCCTCTCTCTCTCCCTGCTCCGCTCTTCTCCCTGCTCCTCACTTCTCGTCCGCGCACGAAATGTCCGCGCACCCGCTCCCCCCGCTCCTCACTTCTCCGCCTTGCCTAACCAACACTGTAGTTAGTTGTTTACAAGTCATGTGCAGCGCACCGGCTGTAAACAAACCTGTTTCTGGCGTAACGAGGAGGCGGGAGGAGGCGTTTCTACGTAGGGAGCTGTAGGGGAGGGGGGGTGGTTTCACGCATGTGCAACATTTGAAAAAGGACAAACAGTCGCTGGATTTCTCGTTCCTTGGAAAATCCTCTATACAACCTTTAACATCATTTTTTGTATCAGCCACAGCTGTAAGACAAATATATATTATATCATTATCAGCTAAAAAAAATCCATATCTGACCAGCGCTCATGGCAATAGCATCTTTGTGGAGACAAGCAGGTGGCAGACCCTCTACTGAAAAAGTTTTACATACACCTATAAAGAATTACAACATATGTCCAAGAAAGATGGTTAGTGTAGGGGGTCTTGTGGGGAGACAGTGACAGTGTTTAATATTGATAAGTGACAAACTAATCTTCAGGTTAGCTGTTTAAATTGAGCTAATGCTTTAAATAAAAATGTAAATACAATTGTTATTCACTCAACAATGAAGCACTGTAGAAATAATAATCAGTGTAGTTCCGTAGACTTGGTGCTCAGATGACTGGCGTCAGATCAGAGAGCAGACTGGTAATGCCAGGTCTGAAGTGGGCTGTTGACGTGGGTGTGACTGTGCCCTCTGCTCTCTCTCCAAATGTCACTCTCCAATAACATTCCCACACGTCGATCAGACTCCTTCGTTTCCTCCTCTCATCTCACACACACCTTTGTCCACCAATCACCCATTCACATGCTCATCTCTGCTTGTTCTGTCTTGTTTTGCCGTGTGCGATTTTTGGCTCCGCCCCTTTGCTGGGACGGAAGGCGGCGGAGATGCAGGAGGAGGATGCGCCGAGGGAGGATGAGGAGGATGAGGAGGAAGAGGGAGGGAGGCAGACCACACCAAATGAGTGGCTTAGAGAATGAGGGGGATCATGTGTCTCGGTGAGGACCTGTAGAGACGTGTGCTGCACTAGATGTAGTTCTGACTGTTGTGTTTCTGTGTGGGGTCTGGGGGCTCTCCATGGCGCTGCATTGGGACGTGGTTTAAGAAATGTGGAATAAATAATAATGGTTACAATTTCCTGACTGACAAAATTTTAGTCACGCAATATAATATAAGTGTCTTTCTCAGAGACACATCAACAGTGCGCTTTGGCGTGGTTTGAACTGTCAGCCCTCCAGTCAACAATTGTACTCAAGTAAGAGTTACTTCAAAATAATATTCAAGCAAAATTACAAAGCAGTGGTCTAAGAAATCACTCAAGGGTGAAAACATTTGCGGAAACTATTCAAGTAAGAGTGACTGGAAGTGTAACTATCTGGACATCACATCTGATTTTATAGTGCATGCAATGAAGTTAATGTTAGACAGGAGAGTGTTTCACTACTTCCTGTAGCCTTCCGCAAAAATACTTCTGCGAAATTTTCAGATATGCTTCTCAGGAGGGCTACAGGAAGTGGCTGAAATGTGTAAAGCAGGTACACAAATACTTTTGTCCGACTAAATGAATCGCTTATGTAATACATGTAATGAAGTGACTGTAAATGTTAACAACATTAAATAATGAACAATATCTGGTATTTTCAAAGGATGGATGCAAAATTGAGAAACTAAATAATATCTGAAGGAGGGGTGCAAGAAACAGATGTCCAAATAATTTAAGTAACCAAAACCTTTACTCAAGGAAGAGTACTGTTAAATCAATAAAAAATATTACCTAAGTAGGAGTAAAAGTATGACACCTACATGCTGTATCTAAAATATAGTTAAAATATTAATCTAAAATCTATAATATCCTGCTCAGAAAACATAAAGCTGCAAATGTGAATTATTTGGGTCGTAGCTGAACTCACAATTTAAACCAATTTTTATGTTCTGCCAAAAGTCAACCTGTAGGACGTGTAGACTTCTCCGTTAGTAATGTTTAGTGATTCATGTTATAAAAGCCACTGTAGGTTATACTGGCCATGTATCATTCAGAACAGAATTTAATTATAATTTTGATTACATCACTTTTGCTATTGTTTGGAGTAATAATTCAACCACCGTTCAAATTCCCTGTATCCTTACAATGTTTTCAGCTCCAGTATATTGTCCTTATGTGCTCTTATTACAAGTGCAGTGTCATGGAACAGCCCTGACCTCTTAGTGCAGTTGTAGTTCTAAACTGTCCACTCTGGTCTGTCTATGTCCAACCACAACACAATTCAGAATCACATTACACACACACATACACACAGACAGACACAGAGACAGACACACAGAGGGACACTAGCACCGGTGTCTATGTCCAAGTCCATTGTGCATGTCCCGTCCTATCGCCATAACCATCTCCATTATCATTACCAAAGCCAGTCCATAGCTTACAATACAGCAGTTTACTTTAAATACTTATTCAATCTATACATTCATTCTAATTTTGACTATAACTTTCTTTTTTCTTTTCTGATGTTTGACAGCTTTTCCAGATCCACGGGTCGCGGATGTAGGACCCCACCCAGTTACTGTACATTTAAATAAATTTTTGGCTTAGTAATCCGAAGATAAGTCCATCATGTGAAGATTTGTTGCGGAGTTTGATAAAATAAAAAAAGTGACCATGCCATGAATCTTAGTAAACACAACCAAAGATTTTGAACAACGCTGGTCAAATGTAAGGAAAACTTGAGCGATATAAGGGACATTGGAGGAGCTGTTGCACAGTGTTTTTGTATACATATATTCTCTGAGAACAAGGAGGCCCTGTTTAGCACCTTCCATAATGTTGACCACACATCTTTATCTGTGTTTTTAACCTAGGTCCATCTTTATTTTGTTGTGCAATTTCCTTGATTCTTAAAAGAATTCTAGAGAAATTGTCTACTGATCGAACAAATGTAAGCTACCTCTGAATGCAGATGTGCAACCAATCAGATAGTAATGTCAACAATGTCCCCTATTCATATTTTTTGTGAAAATTGTTGCTAAAAGAAGTAATTTTGAAAAAGTAGTCCGTTGCTTCCCATAACATAAGCAGAGTAGCAGCGAGGTTACATCCTTCTATATACTGAGATTATCCAAAACACTTGTTATTTGATACCGCCTGCTAAGTCTAATATGTAGATAGCATAGGAGTGGTCCCAAATATATCTCATTTCAGATGTATTTGTTTGGCTTTTCCCTGTAACTCTGACCACTGCGGTTATTTGTGCCTGTGGGACTTCCCCGGTTTGTTCCTGACCCCTTGTAGATGGAGCTGCATCAACAGGAAAACACTGAAATTCTCCCAGGCAATAAGCCAATAATGTTAGACAATCAGATAGCTCCATTAGGGCTGCGTAATGTCATAACAACGGCGAAGGCAAGATATTTTATGCTAGGGTTTGCAATCACAAGTGTCAAAATGCAGATGCTTCGTCCTGGTTTAAAGTGCGTATGTCAGATTTTTATGTTTTTCTCATTTTCATTTAATTTGTTGGGATTTTAGCTACTCTAAATAGAAATGATAGTTCTACACAAATCAAGAAGGAATTTGTGAAGACAAGTTGAAAAATAAGTTGAAAGTTACAGGAAGTAGAGTTCAAACATACTGATGACATCACTCTTGGGAGAATTCTGTCCAAAAGTTCGGCACAGTTTTACACAACAGATAAAAAAAATAAATAAATCTGATACTGTAAGCATGATTTCAACAAAAGAATGCTGTTTTGTGTTTGCCAGATAATCATTTCTGTGTACATTAGAGGAGTTTTGTAAAGGTAATAGTTATGAAATTCCCTAGTGTGATATCACGATCTACAACGAGAGTACGTTTTTAAACTTAAAAAATGGCCAAATTGGGAAAAAAAAAATTTGAATGCTCAAATCTTAAATATAATGATCTTGGCTGTGATTTAGTAAAATGAGAAGTCTAACCTGTCATAGGCACTTTAAGCGAGTATGAGTTTTTAGTTTTTTTGCATCAAGTTAATGACCACACAAATAACCAACTTTATAATCCTAAAGACAATTATTAGATTAAACATCTGAGAATTTTCCATTTGGATTTGTAAAATAGTGCCTCACCTAGTGTTATAATACCCTTTCTCTCCCATCTTATTTCAAAACTTAAAACCTGAATGCAACCCATAGGCAGTTATACTTTTTATATTCTATGAATCATGTTTAGAACAAAAGTAGCCTCAGTGTATCGTCCGTGTATCTGAAAGTTTAAGTGTATATTTATATAGCAAAAGTTTTAAAAAACCCTGGTAGACGTTATTGAACTACTGTACAACGATCATGTTGTTATTTATGCTCAACTTCAACTACAGACAAGTTTAAAGTGGAGGCAAAAGACTGACCGACCAGTTAAGCTTTCGTTTTGTTTTGATCATTTGGTGCCTTGAGTTTAAACAGCACATCAAATCTACTGTAACATGTGAACTTCACTAACCGTGTTATCCAGTAACGGTAACGGAGTACCACTTTATAAAAGCTGCACCTTAATTAGCCCTTAATAAAGCATCAACAGAGACCTAATTCAAAATATCTTATACATACATGTATGTCTTATTACAAAACCTGTCCTGCCCCAATACAGATATATTGTATAAGCAGCGCCCTATGCATCTAATTATAAAGCGTTTTATTGTCCAAGAATCAGGAAGTGTACTGTTAGCATGCTAGTTGTTGTTGTTAGCTTTACAGTGATGGCAAAAGGAATATGTTTGGGCTATTGCACACTGTTAAAATGAGGGGAAAAAAACTGTTACTGAGCCTGAATCATTCATAATAAACTACTTGTTCTTTATGGTTTAAAGTCTTTGTTCATGCTTTATTAAGGCTAATTAAAGTGTAGTTATTCTGAAGTGGTACCGGTAATTGTATATAACTTCCAGTGTGTTGTGGGTCACTGTAAACACGACAAGACACACTGAGGAATGATCAAGCTGTTTTATATCAGTCTTTTTGAGAACTATTTTTACATGTTTTGTTGTCTAATTTATTGTTTTTTTGAATGTTACTGATAAAATGGGTGTTATTGTAATTTAGTGAATATTTTTTCTACCTAAGGTTTTGACTGTAGCTTTGACCACTGTTTTGATGGTTTGTAGTTCACTAAATCAAACAGTTTTTTTTTTTTTTTGCATGTATTTTATTTTGTACATGACTTGAATGTTTTTATTTCAACACCAAGCTTGTTTTATGTGTTTAAAGGACACATATTATGCATTATTTGTGCTCTGGGAATGAACCATGAAAACAAAAAAATCAAAGCTAGCTTATAAACAGTGTAGCTGGCATGCAATACAAGCACAATGTTGTAGTGAACACAATTTGACAGTAAAAATGTAGTGAGTATTGCAGTGATTTACATATAGACTTAAACTGCATAGAATTTCTACCTGTTATGCTTCAATCCAGGGAAGTTTTAACTGGGTGAGTAGAGCAATTTAGCAAATAGAGCAAATAAATGGGATTAATGATCAAAATACAACTCCAGGTCTGTTTTTAAGGGAATGTTACACTATTAAATGTTGCATAGTATGTGTCTTTTAAGATAAGAGCATTCCCTGTTGCAAAAAATACTGTCCTAACTTTGAACGTTTCTGCTGGTCATTTGAACATACAACAAAATGTGACAGAGGAAATGTAAAATGTCAGATAAACCTTTGCAGACTTCATACACTACGTTTTGTTTTCATTCACCTGTACTCCATTAGGACCAAGACAAAAAACTACTACAATGTGACTGCTCATTTTATACATGATTGTCACCATTCTCAATAAAACGTGGTCCTATGGTTTCAAAATGGTGTCATGCTTTTTGTTATAGTTGCAGTCAAAATGTGAGCAAAATATGCAAAATAAAAATTTTAATATATACAGGATTACAAATGCTTTCACTTGTGGTATTGGTCTGTGGTAGTGTGGTAGTATTTATACAAGTATTTCTTTCAGCTTTCAACAAGGCAGCAGTAACATAGTCCTGGAATTGGAAATTTGAAAAAGATCAGGGTGAAACAACAGTGATTAGGTGAATATATTAGTATAGCTGTACATAGATTTAGAGACTTGGAGACAGACTATTTCTTCCTGGTTATTTTCATTATGTGTGGGATGATGGGTGCAAACAAAAACAATTCAAAAACAACCAAATCATGAACTCAAGGCTATAAAAAGTACTGCTTTTTCCAGACCCAGTGAAATAAACTGGCACTGTGCCAATACCGTCCAATACAAAGCCTGTATTGAAATACTGTCATGTACAGAGTGCTGTAATTCCTCATTCATCCGGGCGTGGTTCAATCTAAAGAAGGTTTCAGTGTGTCATCTGGACACCGTTTCTGCAAGCAAGACATTTCAGTCCAGTGGCTTCCCATCCAGAAGCCATTTTCAATTTGATGGTACTTGCTTGCTAGTAAACAAGGGCAGGCCATTTTCTCTCCAAAACTCCTCCCTTTGGGACTAGACATAGTTAACTTAAGAGTAGTATGGAGCCCAAAAGCGACCGCCCACCATCTGGATCCAGAAGAAAAAAAATTATTTTTTGCCACTAACTTACTACCCTTAACTCTTAATATTGTAATTTTTGAAAAGTTTATGAGAAAAAACAAAAAACAAAACCAGAGCTGGCGGTCACCGTTGAGCTCCATAAATTCATAGTGATCATCTTTATCTAAATTCTAATGTAGCACTGGTATTTTCACGTTAGCAGTGGATTGCATGAAATCAGTATACACAAAAATATAATGGCTTTTAATGTGAACTGTATGGAGTGTTTAAGTCACCCTGGTTCAAATATCTCCTGATAGTCCTGTCTTCTTCAGCACACTTGAGTCTTTGGTGGACGTTCTAGAGAAAAGTGCTTAGTGTGTTGTCCACAGTGACCAGGTGGAGGTACTCTGGCTGCTCGCTCTCAGAGCCCAGCCCCTGCTCCTCATGGGACCCTGCGCTGCTCTGACTCAGCAGGGGTTTCTTCCTCCTGATGGAGCCTGTGGAGCGCCTATCCAGACACTCCACGATCATGTGGGCCAGATCCTGCTGCAGTCGCTGGAAGTTCTCTCTGAGGAGGAGGAAGACAAGAGGCTGATGACTAGGCCTGTCATGGCAACACATTTTTTAAATAAATAATAATAACAACACATAATACTTGTATAACTCTTTTCAAGATACTCAAAGATGCTCTCTAAGGACAGGGGTGATGTGTCCAAGTTCAATATATTAAGTAAAAAAACTGGCGATAAACAATAATATTTAATATTAAAAAAATATTCCCACTAGAAATAAGAAAAAGTACTTACGATAAATACTGACCCCCAAAACTTAATGCTCCATCTATCATGTATTGAATGATAAATCAGTGTAGTAATTATTGTGGCAGGCTTAGTGATGACAAGAGGGTGAAGGTAATGCAGGGAACAGGAGGGATAAATGAACTCTAGGCTGGTGTCTTGTTGCGTGACTACAATTGATACTTTGCAGCTGATGTCACCAACATTGCCCGGGGATGTGACACTACTGAAGGCACTGCTCTGTCTGAAGCTCTGTTACTCAAGTTAAACTATAAAGTTAAACTGTGGAAAAAACCACACATACTTTGATACATCCTTTATGAAACTGCCCTTTGGTCTTTCCAATATGGAGTAAAGTGCTGGACTGTACCCAAGTAACCCAAGCTGTACTGGACTAGACATGCACACAGCTAATTTTGAAAATGTGTGTCTTAACATTATGAAAAATGGAAAAGATATTTAAATTATACACCCTCCTAAATCAGTTAAGCATGCGCCCAACAACCAGAAGGTAGCCCCATAGCAAAGCAAAAGTGAAGATGAGATCTCATTTATGTCACATTTACATTTCCTAGATATGAATGAGCACTAATCGAGACCAAAGTGGTTTTCTCATTCTTCTCAAATGTCTCTCCTGAGAAATAAGTCTCACAGTCAGCATTGCATGAGTTCTCTAAATTCTCTCACAGCTGTCTCTGTTCTTGATCTCAGCTAAGAGAAAAATGAAATATATTGTGCTGCTTTCAAATATGTCTCAATTTGATATCCTTACATGGAAGCACTATCTCAGTTATGTCTCTCACAGCTCACTATTTGAGGTCTCAGATTTGTCTCATAAAAGTCTCAGATTCATCTCATGTTATTCTCTTTAATTCTCCTTCAAAATAACCAAGACATAATTGAGATCAGGGGCATACAATTATGAGATCTCCTCTGTTTATCCCACCTTTCAAGTATTGCTCAACTGATTATCTCAACTCAACCTCCTTTGTCTTGGTGATGTCTTGTCTCTTTTTAGCTTATCTCTTGCTCCTAAGGGAGCCTTAGGAGAAAAAACAAATTATCACAGAATGATACGAATACGAGAAGCTCAAATTGATCTCAAGCGATGAGATTGAACAGCAGATTTTTAAAAAATAAAGTAGATAAATATTGGAATAAACTTAAGGTGAATTATGTAACATTCCGTGGATGGTCTGCTTGTTTCTAGGAGATGTTTTTGCTCGACCAGGTTTGGCATTATAAGTTTAATACCACACTGTGAAACATTCAAAGCATTCTACATGAAGACAAGGCAGCAGACCCACCACCATAAAAGTTACACAGTGTCCCTTTAACTGCTGCTTTTTACAAGTACAATCTCCAAAACAATTCTGCAGTAACATTCCTTCCCTGTTATACTGCATCATTAAATCTTCTCCTGCTCCTGCCATTACCAAGACTCCAAGGATCCTGACTGAGAGCAGAGATTTAAATATTTAATCAGCATTATGTAAGCGTCTGACTCACGCTGTGGGCGGAGTCGGGAGGTCATAGTTCTTTCCCTTTTCCCCGGTTAACCAGTACGTCGTCTCTGTTCCTTTACCCTTCAAAACACAACACAAGTCCAGTTCAGCTTTACATATACAGTATGTCCATGTTTATTGTTTTGTATTTTTACATAAAGGCAGCATGCTTACCTTCAGAAAAGTCTCCCCTCTGTGTTCAAACTCAAACTTACAGTCTGTCCTTTTGAGAATATCAATGGTAGGCTGACTGACGTGGATCTTCAGAGCTGGAAAATTACATATCTTTATTTAATTACAATGAATGGCCATGTCTATAATTACTCAGGATGTTTGCTCACTGCAGTGTAAATTAGACCTAAACAGATTACACAAACACAATATGGATGGGCTAAATATGTCTACAGATACATAGATTAGTATACTTACGATGCCCAGTCGACTCCATCCGGGACGCGGTGTTCACTGTGTCCCCAAATAAACAATATCTGGGCATCTTCACCCCGACCACACCGGCTGCGCACGGACCTACAGCAAGATAAGATAATAGGTTGACTTCTATAATCTGATTATTTAAATATTTGAGTCCTGTATTATGCAAAATTGACTCCCGCTGTGTTATAATGTTACCTCATCAAACACATACCTGGAGATGTGTTTTGTTTCATTCACACATTTGAGTAAACCTTTATTATTTGTGTCAGTCTACATCTCCAAAGCTCAAAATGCACTGTTCCACCTTGTGATGTCACATAGTGACACTGCTACTTTTTATCTTTAGTTCAGTAGAGATTGTTAATTCCAGGGCTGAATTATAATTATTGAAATGATTAAACCACAATGGAGCACTGTATGACCTCACAAAGCGGAACAGAGTGTTTTCTGTTTGAGAGAAGAATTCCTAAAGCGCAAATATGCAGGCTTTAAACAGAACGCGTTTCGACCAGCAAGATGGTCTTTGTCAGGGCAAAGTCTTTGCCATCTTGCTGGTCAAAACACGTTAGTGTCCCTTCATGCAATAAAGGACTTTTAATATATTAAGTCGGAGTGCCTTGGGGTTGTACCTTGCCCATTTTTGCATTTTCCAGTAAAGTTAACTTTTTGTTCAAAGACTACTGTTTTAGCCCTTGTAGAGCACCTGCACTGCTATTTTTTACTCTTTCATGACTCAGTGAAGCGCTCTACCTCTTTTTCTTTATCTGACCTAAATATGCAGGGTTTGTGTGTTAAACATGTGTGAATGAAAAAAAAGAAAAAAGAAAAAACACAACTCCAGGTAAGTTTGTGATGAGGAACCAGCATTAGAACATAGATCAGAATATAGTGTAATATGGGCCTTTGAAGTAAATAGTCAATATAGGTCCACAATATTATAATCTTAATCTACTTTTTTTTTTTAATTGTATTGCCTGAAATGTTCCACAGATTTATCTATCTTGCATTTATTCAATTACAGGTGTTTTTGATGTTAAAAAATGTCTTAAAAAATCAGTTCTTACTGTGAGTGGGCTAGCCTTTCCACAGATCTGACCTACATTTGACTTGTTGGCTTCAAATGTTTGTTTCCATGCAGATAAACATATTGCGGAACATTCCATGGAAAGAAACAGGTGTGGTGGACCGAAAGGTTTTTGTTTTGTTAATTCCTGACAGTTTTTTCATGATAGTAGGCCCAGTAATTGTAGAGATACTAACCACAAACCTTATCAGCCTGATCAACCTTCATGGAGCTCTATCCCCTCCATTTCAATTTCAAACTCAAACATACTATACATTTACTAAAGTATGCTCTCTTATATAGTAGTTCCATAAGAGTACCTGAGTGCACCCCTATGCGTATCCAGACTGGGATGCCGGGCATGTGTCGGAGCTGGAACGTCCCTATAAAGGTCACTATGTCCAGGGCCATGTGGCAGATATCTACTGCGTGTCTGTTCCCATTCCTCTTGGGTAACCCGGAGGCCACCATGTAGGCGTCTCCTATAGTCTCCACCTGAGCACAGACAGAAGGTCACAACTCAACCATATGCGCAGCTATAAAGATGTGGAATGGACATTGGAATGGTAATACTCTTGACATTACGGTTGAACAATTTGGGAAAATTATTGCAATTTTTACAGACAAGCATTTCTCTCCGCTTAAACACTGAGAGATATAGGACTACAGTCATACAATACTCCATACAACTGTACAACAACTCAGCCTTATGTAACAGATACCCCTCTGTCATGTCATTCACTATTTCAGCTTTGCACTGTTCCACTGGATGTGGCTCCGCTAAAAGACATATTTCTTTTTGTTGGAAGAAAGACTAAACCAACTGTGGGTCAGTGGGTGAGGCAGATGTGAGTGTGGTATCATTTATTATGAAATTAACCCTGTCACATATACTTTTCATCAGTTGATAAAATTTGGTGGGGATGAGAGGATGTGGCTTTTTGGAGGATGTTTAAACTCTCTGCTCATCAACCACAGCAGACCATCAGTAACTGTGTTCAGACTGTCAGTAGCATTATTGAGCTCATAAAATGTGCACACTATTTGGACATTCAGGAGAATTTTTTGTCCATTATTTTATTTTACTTTTTTTGGTCTCATTCTTTTTAGACACTTCTGCTCTACGTTTTGGTATCAACAATTTTGATAATTTTTATGATTTTAACCCTTTGAATGACATTTCTTATCATAAAAGGGCAACATTTTGTGTTTGTGCATTTTTCCGATATGATAAATGCAAAGCAGATCATTTTGTGCTTTTTTCTTACAGCCTGGTAAAGGTCAATAGATGGCACGAGCATTAGTTTTTGTGCATTGGTAGATTTTGTGTGTGTGAAATACTCATGTTTGTACTGTTAAGCACATAAAATATGCACTGACATTCATACATTTGTATGTTATGATATGTTGTTCATTATTATATTCAACTTTCTTTGGGCTCATTCTTTTCAGCTACTTCTGCTTTAACTATTGATATAAAATATTATTGTAGATTTAAATATTTCAACACTTTAAATGACAGTTTTGTTTTGAATAGACCCTGATTTTGGTTGAAAATTACACAAATCCAAAAAGTGAAAGCAGAAAGCAGATTATTTTTTAGCTCTTTTATTGCAGCCTGGGATGAGCTTAATCCCAGAACTTGGATGGAAGACTGCTGGGAAAAATCAGGTGCCACAGGGGGGTCACCAGTCACAAAAACTGCCACTGTGTCCTTATGAAAGGCACTTCACCCACATTGCCTGTTGAAAATTGAAAGTGGTGTGTGCGTGAGTGATTGTGTTGGTCGGACGGGCCAAATAGCATCTTTTTGAAAAGTAGGGCTGCAAGGACATGTAGATTTCATAATAGTTTTTAAGAATATGTGTAAATAAAAGTAGAGTTTGCTTTCCAATCATCAATAATCACGACCCTTGCAAAATCAAAGTAATTAAATAACACGAATCTATCACTTTATAACTCCCTTTAGAAGAATGTTTTTGTAATTCATGTTTTTAAATTATTAAATACAAATGCAACTACTTAAAATAATTACACCTACTTGAGCACTGGTTTGTTAATTGTGAAGTGTTTTTGCTTTGCTTACTATTTTCAAATGCCTGTTATTGAGTTGCACGCATGAGCAAACAGAAACACGTCTAAATAAGTTTTTAGACTTGAAAACTCAAGAAAAAACACACAATTGATTTAAACAGCACATTTTCAGAACCCTGTCATCAATACAAGCGTGATCAGGTTTAGATGTTTGACTTCAACCAAAAAAGATGAGCAGTGCCTCTAGTTAGCATTTTCAAATGAAGGGCAGGGACTTTGTGGGAGATTGATTGTTTTTAAAGAAATACGCAAACTTATGATCCACAAACATTGAACCTTATTGTTGTCATAGTAAACTTCCTCTCTACTGACAATAATTACGTCTTTAAGGTTGAATAATGGCACCACTTTAAGCTATTGTGCAAAAATTGTTAGAGAAGACACTGAACTTTGTGCCAGTTTTTGTTTCATAATTACGCTTTTTTCTGTTATAATGTGGTTTCCTCATCACAAACAGACCTGGAGTTGTGTTTTGTTTCATTCACTCATGTTTTACATACAAATGCTGCATATTTAAATGGAGTTCTTCTCTCAAATGGAAAATACTTTTCCACCTTGTGATGTCATACACTAATACGGGAAGTGCTCCACTGTGTTTTTAAAATACATGCACCTTCACTAGAATCATTTGGATAATTTCAGCCTGTTCTGATAAAAGGTATCTGTTTTAATAAAAGGGTAAAAGGTAGCTGTAAACTTAAAAACAACCACATCATGACATCACAAGGTAGAACAGAGCATTTTGAGCTTTGGAGATACAGACAGAGTAAGAATAAAGAGTTACTCAAACACATGTGAATGAAACAAAACACAATTCCAGGTATGTTTTACAGGAGGGAACATTCTAACATGGCTTAAAGCTCACAAGAGTCCATTTTGTGTAGTATAAAAAGCCAATTCCACCACAGAATTCTGCCCTGTCCTGCAGCTCCATTTTAAACTATAGTGATTACAAAATGTTGCATGTACCTTGTATACATCATGGAGGTCCACGATGCTGTCGAAGCTCTTGTAGATGTCGTTGAGCATGTCCACCACCTCCATGGGGGTGCTGTACTGGCACAGAGTGGTGAAGCCCACGATGTCACTGAAGTATATGGTGACCTCCTCATACAGCTCGGGCTCCACCATGCCACTCTCCTTCAGGCTCTTCACCACCGGTCTGCAGCAATACACAAACAACCTTAGTCTGTATTTCATTATTATATTAAAGATTCTGCAAAAAAATAAAGTATTAAATATAGTTTGAAAATTTGGTTGAAATATATAATTTTACTTCCTACTTTTAATCTAGAAAACATACTGTAAACAAAAGGCCAAATCACATTCCTTCCTATTGATTGTGCAATTTGAGAACTTTTAACCATTGAAGATATTTTGTCTGGAATTGTTTTTACATTTTTGTTAAAGGTCCTATATTACACAAAATTCATTCCTGTGATCTTTAAGCCATGTTATAATATTGAAGCAAACCTGGAGCTGTGTTTTTTATTTACACCAGTTTGAGCAATGCTGCATTATTAGTCTGTCTACATCTCCAAAGCTCAAAATGCTGTTACACCTTGCAATGTCATCAAGTGGTAGTTTTTGAATTAAGAGCTACCTTTTACTTTTTTCTAGTGGGACACAATGGAGCCCTTTCTGTATTACCACAGAACATGGCAAGGTGGAAAAGAGTGTTTTCCATTTGAGAGAAGTGAGCCTAAATTTGCAGAGGTTGTGTGTTATGTGTGTGTGAATGAAATAAAACACAACTTCAGACATGTTTTCATGAGGAAACAACATTACAACAGATCAGAAATAGTGCTACATACAGTATGCCCTTTAACAGCTTTGGTAATGGTGCTACTTCCTCATCACCCATGGTTAGTTAAGATTTGACAGATAACATGTTCATTTGTTTAAAGAAACACAGCGTAACCTTTTGGCTGGATACCACCTACATGACTCTGTGGAAATGGTCAGTTCAAGCGTTTTAGTGAAATGAACAGTACAACTTGTATAGGCACTTTAAATGAAGGTTTAATCAGTTCCTTTCATGCAAACTGTTCCTGTGTTTTGGGTGGAATTTTGTGTGTTAATGACGTATAGAGGAATTCCTTTTAATCTTAGCTCTACTTGCAGTAATTTCCATCTTCTCTTAACAAACCACCACTTGCAAAACTATGAAAAGCACAAAAATATATCAATTTTAATATTAATTTCACCATGTGTTTGTACCCTGGGAGAAGCATGAAGTTGAGGTTATCGGCCCGGTCCCTCTCATACTTGTACAGCGAGGTCCTCTCCTCCACCAGGTTCTCCAGGTTCTTTGAATACATTTGCAGGCGTCGAATCATGTTGTCTAAGTAGCTCTCATTGTCATGATTATGGATTTTGCTGAGAGAAGGAAGAGACAATACAGCACTCATGAGACTGATAAAATTGCATTGTACATAGGCTTGTAATGAATAGTAATCAAAGTTGGTGTAAAAATTGGGTTACGGTAACCCCCCTGTTCAAATCTCGTCTGAAATATATAGTATTATGTTGCACACTTAAAGAAGACATACTATGTAAAATCGACCTTTATGAGCACCCTCATCATTAGCTTACTTGGTTTGTATTTCGATGGATTCATGGATGTTTGAATAATCCTACATTGTTCTGCATTTGAGGCTTGAGTGCTCAAAAAAGTTCTGTTATCACCTACACCCATGTCCACCCACAGCTTCGGCTCATATGTAGGGTTCAAAAATCTCCCCAAAATGCAAGTACCATTGCTACTCATGAAAATGCAAGTAATAAGAGTCTTATTATCAGTTCTGCAGTTTTGAAAAGGAAATAGATTTGTTTCTAATATTAAGTTTTAGATAAATAAATATTGCAATTTACAATGAACAAAACGTATGTTAGAGCTTTGAACTGCATCCCCCAAAAATGTCTTGAAGCAAATTTTGCAGTTTGTTTTAGAATTTTAGAAATTTAAATAGACAAGGAGTTATCCTTATTTTCTTTTTTAATAAATTTACCATATAACAATGCATGTACAAAATGGTTCCCAGTTGTTTAGAAGTTTATATGACATTATTAAGAACATACTATAAAACAAGCGTCAGTTGCTATACTATACTACACGTTAAACCAGGGATGTCCAAACTATGGCCTGGGGGGCAATTTTCATTAAGTATTAATAACATTTTAATTAATGTAATTTGTATTAAGTAAGTAGAATTAAGTAAATCTACCATTATTATCTCAATAACAAACATTGCATTATAATAAACCTAAACATATGTTCCAAGCCTTATTAAGGGTACGGTGGATCTGTCAAAACTTTGTAAAAATGTAGCCATCTGAAGAATCCACTGTACTGACCACTTATCTCTGCCCGACCGCTTTGAATATGTTTGTGGCCCTCAGTGACAAAAGTTTATAGAGACCCTGCTGTAACTGTACTGTTTTATTATGGTTGCTTACACCAACAATTATTATTATGGTGGTAGCATTTCCAAAATAAAATAAAACATGTTGAAGTAATATAAAAATACATTGCATTGCAGGTTACCTAATACTCTTTTCCAGACAGTTCTCCACTTTCTTAAAGTCTGGCCTGCGTTCTGGGTCTTCATCCCAACAGCTTTTAATCAGCGTGAACACCTATAAGAAGTCGGTTACCATTTCTCACAACAGTTTGTTTGGAACACCAAAATAAGCCAATACTACACTGTACACTGCAATCAAACTTACCTCTAACTCACTCTCTGAGTCTGTGTTAAAGTTGAGATCAGGTCTGAAGACTGTCACCCCTGGACACTGCACTCGAGACAGCTTTTCTATAAGAGACAAAACAATACTAATGATTGTATGAGAGGTTATATTATATTTGTGAACATGTAGGTATGTATAAATATTCTTTACCTGCTCTGTCTGTACAGCTCTCAGTGAAGAAAGTGCACTTTCTATAGATGATCTCCTGCGCAATGATGCTGAAGCTGTACACGTCGCCTTTTTGAGATGTGCCCTGTTTCCTCAGATGCTCTGGTGCAGTCCATAAATCTGAACAGAAGTAAAACAACATGTAAATGATAAGATTATTTTAGTTGTTCATGTAAGAATGTCTGATTACTAATACTCAATTAAACAAGTTAGACTTAATATATGGTAAGATTTATTTTAACACAATCTGACCAAAAAGAGCTGGCTTGCTTGGAATAGGTGAGATTATTTGTGTGCTTAAAAAGTCTCTCCCACATAAAATTACAGTCACAAGTAAGCTAGCATTTGTCAACTGTCAAACATCTAAACAGCTTAAAATCCATTTTGTATCTTTTTGTGATATCTTAAAACATTTTGGGTATATCCACATCAAACAAAAAATGGCACAAGTCTTCTCTGTCAGTATAAATAACCGCAAGAGAAATATTTTTTTCTACAATAGCTTCAGAAAGTGGTACCATTATTCAACCCCAAAGACATGATTGTTGTCAGCTGAATTGACTTGAAGTCATAAAAATAACATGGCAAGTTTGTGAAACCAATTCCAAGCAAATAAAAATAATGATAAGGCTAAACATTTGTGGATTATACATTTTGACATTTCTTTCAAAAACAGTGAGTCTCCTTTAGAGTTATGTAAGCACTCCATTTAAAATTATGACCTCATAAAATTTTAGAACATAAACACAACCTATTCTATGAACATTATCTAATCAGGCCAATCCAAACTTCACCTCTGCCAGGGACCAGTAATGTGTTGCAGCCAAAGTCAGTGATCTTGACCACCATGCGGTTGTCCACTACACAGTTGGTGGACTTGAGACGCCCGTGGACCTGGAGTTCACTGGCATGGAGGTAGGACATGCCCTGAAAGAAGACAAAATGTGTGTGTGAGAGAGAGAGAGAGACATTGAAAGCACAGCTATAACTAAACTTGGTTATTGGTGCCCTCTTCTGGCAAAAATAATACACTACATGCATAAACATAATCTTTTCTTTTCATCAATTCCTGCTTTGACATTGAAAACGTCATTAAAACAAATATTGTTATTATTGAGTTGTGTTTTGTTTCATTCACACATGTTTGAGTAATCCTTTATTATTGGTCTGTCTACATCTCCAAAGCTCAAAATGCTCTGTTCCGCCTTGTGATGTCTTTTTTCATTTAGTTCAATGGAGATTGACAATTCAAGGACTGAAATTATCCAAATGATTCTAGTAAAGCTGTATGGAGGTTAAAAACACAGTGGAGCACTATTTGTATTACTACATATGTATGTATGACATCACAAGGTGGAACAGAGTGTTTTCCTTTTGAGAGCTAAACTAAATATGCAGGATTTGTAAACAAGGATTTTTAAACATGTGTGAATGAAACAAAACACAACTCCAGGGATGTTTTGATGAGGAAACAATATAATAACATAGATCAGAAAATATCGTAATGTGGGCCCTTTAAAGGTGCTGTTGCTTTGTTTGGAATGTTCCACTGTATAAAATATAAACATTTATCTCCATGGAGGCAAGAAGGCCAAGTTACTTGTCAGATCTGTGGACTCACTCACACTATTTTACAAAAATATTTTCTAGCAATAAAAAAACACCTGTAATGGAGTAAATGCAAAATTGGTAAGTTTAATACTATATAACGTAGGACATTTTAGGCAAAGCAATAACATATCTCCATGATGACAAGCAGGTAGTGAACCCCCCTTCAGAAAAGTTACGTAGTGAAGCTCTAAATAAATTTTAAAAAATTAAGTGCAATAGTAAAGAAGTTATACAAAAAACCCTATTCAGATCTTGCCAGTATATTCATATGGTTGCTCTTGAGAGAAAGTGTGTGTGTCAGTTGCATATGACCATTATATCCTCCATTATTCTCACACCCTTAACCAAACATTACATAAGATATGGCACTGGCTTGAATTATATAAGGTGCTCCCTATGGAAAGCTCCACATGAGGATGGCTAACCTTGGCAATGTCGTACATGACGGAGATCTTAAACTCCCAGTCCATGAAGGTCTCCTCTGGGTAGGACACTTTGTCATTGAGCACATACTACAAAAGGACAAGATGAAGAAAATGTCATGGTTTTCTTTTCATGAACAGAGTCAAGGGCATTCAGTTACCAATTTTAAAAAACAATCATTTTAATTTTAACTTGAATATTTTTTCTAGAATTTAACCAAAGCTTAAATATGCAAACTGAAGCATTGTTGATATAGATGACTTGTAAAAAGAAAGAAAAAAATCGCACATTCATTTTTTTTCTAATTTTGATTTAATACAGATGCTGTATTTATAATACAACCAGTTTCTCAGCAAATGGCATATTTTAGAGTCTGTTTAGAGAAAACAATTAAAAGGTAGATATTTTTGAGCTTTAAGCCATGTTATAGTGCTGTTACCTAGTCAAAAACAAACCTGGAATTATGTTTTATTTCATTCACACATGTTTGAGTAACCCTTTATTATTAGTCTGTTTACATCTGCAAAGCTCAAAATGCTCTGTTCCATCTTGTGATGTCATGCAGCGATTCCTGTAATACCATATGACATTACAAGGTGGAACAGAGTATTTGAGAGAAGAACTCTCAAATATGCAGTGTTTGTGTGTAAATGGAACTAAACACAACTCGAAGTATGTTTCTGATGAGGAAACAACATTATAAAATAGATAATGAAATAGTGTGATACAGACCCTCTAAGGAATATTAAAAAATAATCAGTTATTTTTTATTTGTCACTGTAGCCCTCATTCATACGTTTGAACAATATAAAAATATATATCTTGGTTAGTTGCAAGTTTGATAGTGTATTGTTTATGCGAAAATATGCCCAGATGACCTTGTTTTCCCACTTTTCCTTACATATGCAAGTTATAGGCAGCGTGTCGATGTCTAACTCAGATAAGATAAGTAACCTATAAGAATGTGTAGGGGCAGGGTAATGGTCTTTCTAGGAACTGGACTGTGTAGCCTGCCCTATGGGGATGTATTCAGTTCATGCCATTTGTACCTTGAGAGATCCGCGTTCTCCATACTCAAACACTCCAAACACGCCCTGGTCAAACTTCACCGTGCCATAAAACTTGGTCAGGTTGTAGTAGTCGATATGAAGCAGCTGGACAGAGGATCTGACATTAACTTCAATAGCATCAATAATATGATTCAGGAAGTCTGTGTTAGCCTATTATGTTACCGCGTTCAACTCTATCCTCTGGGTCTCATCAAAGTTCCCATCCAAGTGCTTCAACTCCTTCAGAATCACAATCTAAAACAAGATATACAAGGAAAAAAAGATATAAAAGTGCATTGATAATGGGAAAAGCTTTATAATGACCTCACTTTCATTAACCTTAATAGAGCGTGAACAAAAACTTAAAAGCCATATAGACATTTTTTTCCCATGTATTTGAGCAAAATCTGTCTTTGTCCAGTACGGATCCATTGCATTAACAGCTCTTGAGGTCAAAATTATCTGTTGTGTAGGGCTGTAAATCTTTAGTCATTTAGTCGATTAATCTGTATTAGTCAAATAATTATTTTATTTTGATTAAGAGAATAGGACAACAGCAGAGAGGAGAACTTAGTGAGTGAGTTAGCTGAAGATTTGGTATTTATATGTAAAAAGCAGATTAAACTCATGATTCACATTCTGCCTTTATATAATTACATTGTTTGCTAGTATTTTTTTTTTCGGCATAAATAGTTGTATTTGCATGAATTCCTCCTGCAGGTGTAGTCTTGTGAGTTCAGTTTGAGCCAGATACAGTCCAACTGCTGTGTACTGTCTGCATCTAAAGCATTACAAAGCGTCCAGTAATAAAGAAGTGCATGTGTCAGCATGCTAGTTGTTAGCTTTACTGTGATGTGTAGACACTGCTCTACCCTGTGGCAGTTGTAAAAAGCTCTTAAATTCTTGACGGTGTGAATAATAAGGATGCTCAGAATTCATAAAGTATGTAAGGAAAAATAACTATGGAACACTACAAACTACTCAAATGAACTAGTGCATGCTTTTAATGCAGTAAAAATCAGTTCCATCAGTCACCTTTAATCTAAATCACTCTTAATAAACTAAAATCTTTAACCCCTTAGTCTTTATTAGTCACTGCTCATGCTATTAAGGGTAATTGAGGTGTAGTTAGTCATTAGATATTATGCTGTCATACCTTTTTGTCATAAAGGGCTCTACGGATCTTGAAGTTCTTGTTTTTTCTCTCATTTTCAATCTATAAAAGAAAGGGAAGAATTGCTATGCTGTTACAGCATTTGTTAGAAATGTGCAGAGGTGGGTAGTATTCAGTTACAATCAGTACATACTTTTACTCCTATTTGAGTAATTATCTGAGTAATATTTTACAGTTTAGGTAATTCCCTGATTTGATTTGTGTTTCACTGCTCCTTCAAATATGATTTAGGTTTTTTAAATATATTTTGTGGTCTATTCTTTGTAAATACCAGATTTGAAATATTATTTGAAGTTTGTGTTTACATTAAATTGATCTACTTTTCACTTGTACTTGAGTGATAATCTTTTAAGTATATAATGTCACTCTTACTCTATGCACCTCTGGAAATGTGTAATGAATTATCTACCTTGAGCATTACAACATTATGTTCATTGCCCTCCAGCAAAGTGACAAGATCAGAGTTTATGTGGGACCAGGTCTTTCGCAGACGTCTTTCTTTCCTGTTCTGCCTGGATGAAAAGAAATACAAAACAATATTAAAGAATTTATGAACTGGGAAATTTAATTCACAATAACACTTCCTGTCTAACTAGTAGCAGTAAAAAGCTCTCCACTATCTTTTGTGACTGTGTAAAGATAAGATTTGTCATTTACCTGTAGAAAATGAAGGCAATTGTGGCTACAACTACCACAGTCACAGCCAGTACAGTCACTATGATGTCCTCAGTATCTGTCCCTGAAAACATTATAGGATTGTTAAAAGTATCAAAAATCAGATACCAACCGATACTAAAACCAGTATCAAAACTTCATTCATCAAAAACATCATTTAAGTCACAATTCCAGGACAGAAATGAACCTTTCCTGAATAGCTTTAGAATCATCTTGAGCTGTATCAGAACAAGTATAAGAGCACATAGACTAATCTTCGGATGAGAGACTACACAGATAAGGCCACAGGGTAAAATAAAATGAAATACTACAATTTAATGCTGAAATTTTATTGTCTAAATAAAAATGATCATCATAGTATAAGAATCAGTATTGAGTATCAAATCTAGTCCTTAGTATGGAAATCGAGTTTCAAATCGCGACAAAAAACTAAACCATTAGCAAAGCTGTATTTAACTTTTCATTTTAATAATGTGTGAAACTTAAATTAGAAATGAGATTGGTCTGTACCTCTGTCTGGACTTGACTTTGGGAGTCTCTTGCCCCAAATAAAGTTCGGGTCTGTATCCATTGCAGCAGTGTATAGTGTCTCTGTGTCGAAAGTGTATAAAGTTTTGTACTGCAAAACAAAGAGAAGCTTCTAATAAATACAGAGATTTCATGTTTAACTGACTCAAAATTAAGCAGGCTATATATTGTTAAAATGTAAAAATCATACTTTGTTTTCTGATGTGGTGTAAATAATGGAAAAAGTCACATCTCTGTCCCCATTCGAATCCAGAAGGTAGTTTCCAGCTGTTCCTGTAAAGTCCAAACATTTGACAATTAAAGCTACATTATGCCACTTTTCACCAGCTTGTCTGATTAAACTATTAATGTCTTGATGAGATCATTTCAGAGAATGGTATACATTTATCTTTGGTTTACTCCATTAGAGGCTTATCAAAAGTATTGAAAATCCGATATTAATCAATACTAAAATTAGCATCAAAACTGATATAAGCAGGTATCAATATTAGAAAAATAAAATTCACTGGACAGAAATTAAGCTTTCCTGTAAAGCTTTACAATGATCTAGAGCTGTATCAGAACAAGAGTAAACACATAGACTAGAAACAGATATAAACTGGACCACTATGAAACCTACCAGAATGACTGAGGAAAATAAACATAACACTGTTATTTAATGTTAAAAACCACTTTGTATTTATTGTCTAAATAAAGATTGTTTTTTCTTTGTATTATCATCATGGTTTTGAACTCGGTATTGAGTAATGCGTCTACTCCTCAGCAATGAAATTGAGTTTGAAATTTTAATATTGTGACAACAACACTACTTGATTACAGATATTTCTATATAAAAAATTAAATACTTATTTTGGTAGTCACCAAACAAAATTTCTAGGCAAAAAACTGAAGAAAATAAGCTTTCGGGCCCTCCACTTAAAAATATACATGATGCCCCTTTAATTTTAAGAAACAAGAAAACATTAACAGCTTAAAACTTACATTTTTGAGCTGCAATGTATGGTAACATTTGTCAGTTGCTTGTGTATATATTCACAATAGGTTTCATGTTTCAAAATATTGTTATTACACTTCAGGTTTTGTAACTTTTGCAAATTCACAAAACCACATAAACTTGTAATTGTAAAAGACCCACATCATCACAAACAAAAATAGCTGCTGTCTCTAACAACACTCTAATACTTAAATCAGTTCTACAGGGCCACTTTTAAAGTAACTACTAAAGTGGGGTTAAACACCTCCCACAACCACATTCCAAATAAAGTTGCAAAAATTGGCAGTACCTGCAGGACTAAATAAAAGAGTGAAAGAGGAAAGGCCCGGTCTGGAGGTACAAGAAACAGTGTGATTGGTCTTACAGGCATCCACACTTCAAACTCTACCCCTGCAGCCTGGTGTTTGTAATCAGAAAGACCTGATGACACCAAATGGCCTCTGAAGACAGCACAAACTTAGATTTAGGCATTTTTTGACCAGAAAACTGCAGACGTACGTAGTGTGCACTCAGATGTACAAAACATGACTAGGAGCAGTAGACAATGCTATTCAAATACCATATACAGTTTAGTAGTGGCCAAAGTGGATTTAATGCTCAGTTCCACTTTTTGATTAATAATAATAATAATAATAATAATAATAATAAATATATGTACCATTAAAAGAAGTGTTTCTGAAAAGACTGGGTTTAAGAATGGGATTCATCATCCTCAAATCAGGCTCTGGGGCAATCTTTCTTATGACTTCACCAATAAACAGCACTGCATCGTGGTAAGTAGCCATGTAGTCGTTCATCTATGATTTTGAAGGAGAGAATAAAAATACTGTTATTGTATTACTCATAATTTAAAGTGCAAGTGTGACATATGTAGAAGCAATTTCATAACTGTTACCTAGCAAATATAATGTTGACAATGGGCCAAAGCTTGTCAAATTTACACAGTCATTTTTGACAAATAGAAACATGACTGTGCCTAAATTGTCCCTGCAGTTTGGACAGAATTGTATACACTAATGACATAGATATACTGTTCTTCAGAAAACTTACAATTGACTAATGTAAGGTACGGGTACTATCCCACCAAATAAAGTAACCTATTCATTAAAAAATATGAAAACATATCATATGCACTTTAAATGATTGTATGTGTTTAAGTTTAAGTATTTTACCGTGTTCTCTGGGTCTGTGCTGATGTTGTAGCTCCTTATATTGGGCATTGTTAGAACAAGCACATTTTTCATCTGTGGACTTGATGTTTTGTTCCTGTAATACTCATCGCTGCAGGAATACAAAAAGGAAGAATCACTTTAGTTTACTGTTATGTAGTGAATTAAAGTGAATAGTTTTAATACTTTTATAAATATGTTGAGCAGATTTAATCAGTTATTTCCCTTATTATTATTAAAGGTATTATTATTAATTATTAATTGACTCTTGTGAGTATTTAGCCATGGTAGAGTGATGTTACCTTATCCTGCATTATTAGGATGGCTACATCTCCAAAGCCCAAAATGCATGCATCACTTCCTCTATTACCACATGACAGTTTGATGAATGAATTTCCTTCGGGATAATAAAGTATTTCTAATCTAATCTAATTTAATCTAATGACATCAAAGTAGAACAGAGTGTTTTCAATCTGAGGGAACAATCATCCTAAACATGCAGGATATATGTGTTAAACGTATAAAAATGAAACAAAACAAAACTTCAGCTATGTTTTGATGAGGCAACAACATTATAAAATAGATCAGGAAATAGAGTAATATGGACCCATTAAGTCTAAAATTTGCCTTAATTTATTCCTGGTTTTGTCACTGTGACTTTTTAAAAAAAAATATATTTTGACAGAATTTCAGTAGTACAATATATATATATATATATCTCACAAGTTCCAATATTGTGCAGCTATAAGCAAGATTTACAGGAGTCTGCGTAAGTGATGGTGCACTAACTTGTAAAGGTCAATGAGAAAGAAGAGGACATCGCTGTGATCTGCCTCTGGGATGCCTCTCTTGGCTTCCTCCACATCTGCTGGAGATCCACACATGATAAACACTGCAAACACAAACACAAGAAAACTATACATAATCATACTACAGTCAGCAATGGTAGAAAAGGCCATCAAGTCCAGTACAGAATCACCAAAATAGAAAGGCAGAAGACAATTCATCTTTCTTTTGGGAAAGACATAAACAAGCGCTCATGCACTACCCAATGGACTCTTTCAATATATTTCATTACTGCTTTAATTGTTGGAGATTAATGATTATATGATGTAACATCTGAAGGTAGTCTACAGTGAACTGTTTGGTTGAGTGTCAGTTGTTTCAGGCTGCAATGTAATAAAATAAAATAAAATGGTTATACCTTTCAGATCATTAAACCTGAAATATTGCTGTGATTAAAATGTAACATTATATTTGAAGTTTTAAATTGGATCAGTTAGTCATTCAAGTCTGGAGTGCTGCCGCTGCTTAGGAAGCTCATTGCTGGGTTTCAGATAACATCACAGCATTTTATAGGCCAATATTAATTAATACAGATGGGGGGGCAGCTAAAATGAGAATTGTTAAAATGCAAAATTGTTGTATTACAGTGAATAATACAGTGAGTTCTGTTAGAATTCTGCAGAATTCTAACACTATTTTTTTTTTTTCTCTCTTGTGGGGCTCGTGTGTGTAGCTGTGTGTCTGCAGCTGAGAGAGGCATACCTGTTCCCATTTCCACCATAGTCACCTTATAAAAGTCCAGCTCTCACTCCACTTCTCTGCCAGGTTATTCTGTATAACACATCAGTACTAAACCTCTGCCAGTTATTTTTGAAACTCTGCTACAGATTTGTCACTTTTTTGAATACTTGCTCAGGTCCCTGCTGCCTTTGGAAACAACCATTGTTTAATAAATGTTTGAACTTTTGAACTGAGCCTTCTCTGCGTTTGCTTTGGGATCTGCAATACTCACCCTTAACAAGTTCTTGAGTTTAGTTAATAATTGAAAATACCAGGTTCAACATTTTGGAATTCACCATCTATGGAATTTTTTGGATATTTCATGGTAAAATACAATGATATACTGTATGAGTACAATACAGTGGGTGTCAGATGAAATCACAGCATTTTATTGGCCAATTTGAATTAATACAGATGAAGGTAAAAATTTTAAACTATTAAAATAAATGTTGTAATACGATGAGTTCTTGGGTTTAGTTAATAATTGAAAATACCACGTTGACATTTATGAATTAACCTTTTGGATATTTCCTGGTAAAGTACAAAAAATAAAAAAAAAAAAAATGTTGACTCACGGTTGCTTTTCCTGTTGGCAATGGCAAGCTCATATTTGAGCTCCTCCGGTTTGCGTATAGCTTCCTTGGATATGTTTTTCACAAAATCTGTAGCGTCTGCATCCAGAGCGTTGATGTACCTGTCAAAACACAGACAAAGTGAAAAATAGCTAAGTGTTTACAATTTTTACTCTACAACAAAGAGAGAAACTTGAGTTCAAATGGTCAGTAAAGCTGTAGACGCCGTCTTCAATTAGTCCAAACAGATTTTAACGTGATGATGGTTGTTAGTTAAATTAGCATGTAGCATCTTGAGTTGATTTGAAACCAGTCAGAAGTACCAAATAAGCAAAGTAAAGCTAAATTACAGACATAGGAATAGACACATGTATATTGTTTAATGTTGTTTTCTATGGTGTATCTGTTAATGTTATGGTCTATTCTAGCTAATATGCAGCATGGCAATAATATCTTAAGTCAACATTGGTTCATACTGACATGTAGGCTAACCCCAGCTAATTGTTAAAATGTTGAACAAAAACTGTTTGACTTAATATATGCCAGATTAGCCTAGGATGATCAGACCTCCCTATTTTCCCGGGACAGTCCCAGTTTTGAGCCGTGTCTCCCCTGTACCAGCAGATTTATTCAAAACCATTGATTTGTCCCAGTTTTAACAAGAAATGTCCCAGGTCTCCCTATTTTTGACCAATGTGACACCTGCCAACAGTAAAAAGAGGCGTAAATTGTCACTTGTTCAGGTAAAGAAAAGCTGCTTAAAAATGACCAAAACACAAAGAAAATGTGATTATACTGACTCATGTTAGTCATCAATGGGCGTGTGCATAACAATTTTCGCACTCGTTTTACCAACTAACCCAAACCAGGGATGTCCCAGTTTTTGATTTTGAAAATCTGGTCACCCTAGATCAGCCTACAATACCATCGAACTATACACAGTTTGGACTGCTGACTTTCAGATGTGGGTAGAGCAACCATAGATAGATGTGTTTGTGCACAAAAAGTACCTTTATCTGAAGCAGCAGTGCAAGAAACAAACTATATAATGCTTTTGTCACTTGTACTCACAGTGGGAAGAATAACCAAAACTTTCACTCTCAATTAAGTGTACTCTTATGTCCTGTTAATGTTACAATAAAAATACAGCTCAAGTAGGAGTAAAAGTATGCTGCTAGATAAGTACTCTGAAAAGTACAATTTCTTTAAAAAGTTACTCAAGTAAATGTAGCTGAGTACTGCTGGTTTTAGGTCAAACTGAGATTTTTAATCATGAAGAATATATATGGAGTGGAGGAAAAGAGTGTTTTTTGTACATATGACTAACCAAAAGCAGTCCTCAGTGTTGTTCAGTTTCTTATACACGTATGCTTTTTGCCATTTAGATTTGATCTTGTCCTGATAGTTCCAGAACTCAATGAAGAAGCTGGAGACCTTCTTGGCTGGTGGCAGTAGACGTTGGAGGTTTTTGGTGTTGTCACAGGACAGACCAAAACTGCCTGCGGAGAGGAAAGGAGTCTGGGTCTTCATACCCAACTCCAAACTTGGTAAAAGAAAAGACACAAATTATTATTATTATTTTTTTGTTGTTGTTGTTGAATGATAACAATATATTGATAATAATAATGGGCACTCACTTCACCATTGTAAAGGTAGCATAGGTGCAAGTGGGTCCTAGCACAGCACATCCCAGCTGCCCTGTGTTCTGTCAGTTTGCGGCTTTATGAATGATTGGTGATTATGATAAGAGAGAATAATTATGGAGGTTGAAAATGTCTTACCGTCAAATTTGTGAACTCAGCCACTCCTTCACATGCGCTACTGTGGCAGCCCTTTGTATTATAGTAATTTGTGTCAAATCCAGCAAAGTTGGCCTTGAGACTGAAGTTGAAACCTTGAGAGACAATGTTATGTGAAAGAAATTAAGTAACTATTGTTTTTTTAGACTTGAATACACTTCTTAAATCATGATTGCTTAAAATTCTATTGGAATTAATGGAACTATTGTGTAGAGATCGACTGTATGTTTTTTATGGCCGATACTGATGCTGATTGTTTCAAACCCAGAGCAACCAGTGGCCAATGAGCTCTGCCGATATTTCTGGGCGAATATGTAGGATGATTTTTCCAAAATTATGTAATCTAAATTTACTACAGACTCACCCACAAACCTATAAGAGAGCTGTGTAGTCACCTTTTTTACAGTTACTTCTTCACATTAAAGTGTTTTAAAAAGTTTGTTGTAATCTTTCTAGTAGGGAGGGAATTTGTGAAATATCAAAAGGATTGTGCACTTCTGGAAAAGTTTTTGATTTTTAGCAGGGTGTTAGGTATGGGCCTAAGGTTTTAAAAATCCATGAATACAAGTTAGGGTGCGCCCCCTAGTGGCTGGTGTACATAAAATCCAAAATGGCCCCCGCCGAAAAGAGAAAAGGTTGTATTCCACCTTCCTTTTGTCTTAAATTGTTGTATAATAACTTGACTTGATAAAAGGAATGTGATTTCAATAATATCTTCCTATTTTAAGGCCATTTTCATGTCATATTTATTGTAATGGTCACTTTTTGCTTGAAAAACTGACCATATCTCTGAAATGAAACAGCACATTGTATAAAGACCATTCAGGCCTCTAAACCCATATGATCATCTTAAAGAATAATATTGAACATGTTACCATCTGTCGGGGCCTTGTCCTTGATGTACTCAAGGAGCTTGGATGTTTCATCCTGGACAGTGGTTCCCACACTCACTAGTCCTCGGCCTCCTTACTTCTGGCTCGCGTACAGTTTCAGTACAGTCTCTCTCTCTCTCTCTCTCTCTCTCTCTCTCTCTCTCTCTCTCTCTCTCATCTCTCTCTCTCTCTCTCTCTCTCTCTATATATATATAAAAATATATATGTGTGTGTGTGTGTGTGTGTGTGTGTACACTGGCCACTAGGGGGCATACCCCAACTTGTATCCATGGATTTTTGAAAACCCTAGGCCCATAAATAACACCCTGCCAAAAATCTAAAATTTTTCCAGAAGTGCACGATTTTCATGAATTCCCCCGTGACTATCAGCCTGTATTAGAGATTTATGACCAGTAGACCAATACTGTAGGGATACTTTAACAATTTGAAAACTGAAAATATTGGCTCCTGTCAATCTCTACTATTGTGTACTAGCTGACAAAAACATTTCTAAATCATGTTTTAGCAAAATGGCTACAGTGTGCAGTTTTAGGTATGTAATCACAAAGAAAAAACTAGAATAGGCAGTATTGCACAATAAGATAAGCATTAATGTTGTTCGTTTTCTGCACAGTGCACCTTAAGCCGAGACAAAGGTGAGGTATGGCAAGAAAAAAAAATTAATTTAGGGAGACTGTAACTATTTGAAACTTATGCTGTTGTAGTTGATTTTGATGAATGTGAAAGTGTAGGTTTTTCAGCATTTAAAGTTTTCATATAAAAAATATGTGTAAAAAAACACATGACATATGAATCTCAATATGGAAAATTCATTCTGTTGTCATATTAGATGCAAAAAAAATGTTTTGGGTAGTCTGAAAAATTGCCTAAAAATTCAAATTCTGTTAAATTTTTGGAGTTACAATTAAACCACACTTGTAATTAGGTATCAAAAAATCCTTCTAGCTGTGTTTCGTCAAAATCTTGTGAAATACAAGACTGTAAAGTTTGGTGTATGAAGGTGCTACTGGGGTCATTCTTATGTCCCCCAAAGATGCAGTTTGAAAAAAAATAAAAGCCTTTGAAGTTAATGTGACTTATAACTCACTGACTGCAAGTTGGTAAAATTTTCAGCTTTTGGTCAGTGCAGAATGGGCAATTTTGTTGTTTCTTCATAAAAGCTTGTATACTAAGATTCCAAACTGACTAAGGGTTTTGCCTGTAGTTTCCCTCCTTAATACAATATAATGCAATTTCCTGTCTTTTTATTTTCATTTTGTTTTTTTACCATTTGCAGCGTTGATATTGGCGTCCTTCTTGATGGCCCTCTGGATTTCCTCTTGTACATACACAAGGCTCCATGGCACATCTTTGTCATTGAGGAGAATCACGTTGATCATTATTCCATCCAAACATTGCCTGATGCTGCTGGACCCTGCCACCAGAATCCACAACGCACACACGCTCAGCCAACCACCTCCTAAGCACATTACGAGTATGTATTCTAAAACCAATATTATCCACAGGCTGAAGAAATATTATCAAAGGTATGTCCCTTATAGCTGTAGTCTCAATGTCCAGTAAAGTCACAATAGATACTCCATTGTTGAGGTTACATGTTGTTCTTTTAGAAGGAGGTGCTATAGGAGAAATCCCGCTGCTGTCTAGTTGCTTCACGTTGTACTAAGTGACAACCCACTTGTTAATGTACAACTTTTAAAGCCACAGTGGCAGGCCGTATAACCTTCTGACTGCTGGTATCTCAAGTCTAGAACAACAAAAACAGGCTAAAGGCAAGCATGCTCTCAATGAAACTGAAGTATTTACACAAAACTGTTTAAAAGTACAGATAGTTTTATTATTTCACCTTTTTTCTTTTCATATTGCTCCAACATAATATTTACTCTGTCTTATCCAAAGTATGCACATTTAACACACAAACCCTTCATATTTAGGCTGTGTTCTTCTCGCATCTAGAAAACACTCTATGGAATGGACTGGAATGGAGTGACCAATCTCTACCCAGGAAAAGGTAAAATATAGCTGTTAAATTGAAAACGACCGCTACATGACATCACAATGTGAACCTGCACATGTATGAGTGAAACAAAACACAACTCCAGGTATGTTTTCGATGAGATAACAACATTCTAAAATGACTTAAAGCTTGCAAGCACTAAGTAACTTGTTTTGTGGTGGGTCCTCCACAAAAAAGTTCCACAGTCCCACAACACTGATCTTCAGGTAAGACAAGCAGATGGTGACTGTGCTTAATATGCATGCTTATAAGGTATTTTCTAGCTACAAAGACAGCTGTGATTGAATAAATGCAATATAGATACGTTTAACGACATACTATGAAACATTTCAAAGCAAAGTCATCTCCATAGACACAAGATGAAGGACTCCTCAAAAAGCGGCATAGTGAAACTTTTATTTGGCATTATAGCTGATTAATAGTGTACATTGTGAGGAAAACAAAACAGGTAATAAATTGATTTCAGTGTTATGTTGATTTCATGTTTTCATGAATTCAATGTTGATTTCATGTTAAAATGACTACAAACTGCCTACAATTTAATAATATATACTCTAAATTAGCTCATTAATTATTTACCCATGTCTTCTATTTTATGCATAAAATGAGAAAGGTGTCTGAATATATAGTAACATTTAATATTTTCAGACTGAAGTAGACTGACTTTGATTTATGGGTAGATTTCTATGTCAAAGAAGTCCATTCTTTAAGAGTGTATTAAATCAATATGAGAGATAAGAAGGATAGGCTGAACTAATCTTTCTATGCAGCTGGCGTAGTTTGAAAATATCTCTGTAAATAATAGTGTTGTCACAAAAATTTCGAAAACTGAGGAATACACTTGATACTCAATACCAATTTTGATACCACAGTGATAATAAAAAAAAAACACACACAATAGAATGTGATTTTCAGCATTAAATCATAGTTCTTTCTTTTATTTTACCATACTGCGTGGTCTAATATCTACGTATGTGATCCCTCATTTGTCCAGGTAGATCCCATTGTGGTCCATGGGCGTATACGAGTCTATGTCATCTTACACTTGCACTGATACAGCTCAAGCTCATTCTAAAGCTATTCATGAAAGGTTAATTTCTGTCCTGTGAATGTGACTTTTTTAATATTGACTCCTACTGAAATTAGTATCTTGTTTTGATACTTAAGTTTTGGTGTTGATTAGTATTTGATTTACAATCCTAGAAGACAATATGTACTATGAGTTCATCACCAGGAACACTGAGAACTTTGTAGCAGGTATTAATCTTGATATAGCGCCACATTTTTACCATTTTAAGTCTTCCCAGCTGTTTTCACTTGTACTGTATGAGGGTTAATTTTACTAGCCTCCTTCTTAGTAGTACTTAATCTTAAATGCTGGTCTTTGTTTTTCAATAAAGCTAATAAACTTTACATTTATGAATGACAGATGACGCATGATACAGTACACAGAAGAGCAAAGGTTACACAAGCCGTAAAAGGCTATCATAGACAATAAATCTGATAGTTCACAGTCTGTCCTCACACTTTCAACATAGGGCTAGTAACAAGCCAGGAAGACTTCCATTTAGTTCAATCTTTTCCACCAGGTTAAACAGATAAACTCCATCACCACATTATCAGCTCATTACAAAGATCAATAACCCAATGCTATCTCCAACAGGTCTCTATCTAGAATACACTTAAAGGGACCACATTTCCCATAATGCACTTAACAAGCGTCATTTAGTGATATTACTATGATAGCTTTACAATACAAAATGTTGCTCTGATTTATAATTTACACAATGATTTTTCGTGGAAATTTGGAGAGAGGGTCGCTGTATTCTACCTACTGTCATTGCACATGTACAGTATGTTTGACAGGGCATCTGGCATTAAAATCTGGTAAATCATTGTGTAACTGGCTGCAAAAAATTGCTACAAGTGAATAATTTAATAATAAGAATAATAATTTAAGAACTCAACCTAAATATGCAGGATTTGTGAGGAAACAACATTATAACATAGTGTAAGATGGGCCCTTTAATTAAATCAAACCTTCAATAAAATAATATAAGATAAAATAAGAATAAGTAAGCCACATTAAGCCAATAGGATGCTATTGTATGTCTGGTCCACGTAGAGAGATCAAAGTCTCAGCCTTTCTGCTTCATTGTGTCCATGTTCTTATTTGTTTTCAACACCAGTTAGATTGATTCTCAATTACATTTTACCATGGCAACATTCAAATTGCTGTAAGATTGTATTATTGTTGTTTGATGGCATGGTAACTTTATTATTAGATCTGAATAATACTACCTTTTTATACGTACAAATACCAGCAATTGAATAAATTGTGATTAATTTCAGTTCTATCCAGATTGTAATTTTTTAGCACTTTTAAAGGCCCACACTATTTTCTGATCTTTGTTATAATGTTGTTTCCTCATCAAAAACATGCTGATTCCTCTGTTCCACCTTTTGATGTCATGTGGTAATAAAGGAAGTGCTCCACTGTGTTTGTAAACTCTGGACACCTTCACTAGAATCATTTACTGTCGATGATTTCAGCACTGGAATTCCCAAACTCTACTAACAAAAGGTGAAAGGTAGTTGTGAACTTGAAAACTACCTCTTTGTGACATCACAAGGTGGAATGTAGAGGATTACTTAAACATGTAGGAAAGAAACAAAACACAAATCCATATATGTTTTTGACAAGATAACATTATAAGATGGGTAATAGCTCATTTTGCATATTATAGGGTCTTTAAGGAATCAGCATTCTTTAATTAGACTAATACACAATCTATTTATTATATGTAATAGATTAGATAATAGACTTTAAAAAAAAATCACCTGCTTTAAGGAAATGGTGAATATACTGACATCATGTGCTCAGGAATGGAATTAGTTAACAGATTACTGATATTACAGGTAGGCAAGCCTAAAGGTTAAAAACACATACATTTCCCCAGATTACTACAAAATAAGACATGACCCAATTTTACAAACTCACACGAAATTACTTTAAAAAATATTTTAGATGCGAATTTGATCTAACCTTTGATACTTGATTCCTATTCCTATTTCTTCTGAACCCAGATCACATCTATCTTCTTGGCCTACATTCCACTCCACCAGGAAAACGCTTAAAGTAACAGATGACGCATTGGCCCAGTCGTTTGAATACCATAGCAAGGTTTATTGAAATTTTAATGACATCTGAAAAAAATAAAGGTACTTGCAGACACTTTCAGATAAGACATATTTTCAGTGACAGTGTGCTACATTAAACTTATGGACTTAAATTTAAAAAAATGCATAGAGATGATGCTGCGCTTAAAGACAATACAATACACACAGGTGGACATGACTTTTAAACAGATTATGAAAGAAAATAGTAAATAGTGGAACTGTGCGAGTAGCAAAGGGACGGCTAGTTTCATAAGAGTGATTAGAATGTGCAGTGCAGTTAGCTTTAGATTATTTTTAGATTACCAAACTATAGGTATAAGGGTAATTTTGTCTTTTCACAATTTGTCACTAATAACCTGTGATTAAGATATGGCATCCAGAATACAAAGTAATTTTAGATCTCAGATTTGACTGAAAACAATAAAATGTATCTGACAGGTAAATTTAAGACAAGAACTGTTCCACAGCATGGCACTAAATGTGTAACTATGGAGACAAGCATGCCCAATTACAGATCAGAAGAGTAGAGAGTCAGGTCTGCTCAGTGCTCGCAGTAAGAATACATGTTTTTTGGAGAAAAAACACTTGAAGACAAGAACAAGATGTATAAGTTTAATGCAATACTGTGGGACATTCAAGGCAAAGCAGTTTCCATGGAGAATGTTAGGTGCATGCCATCGCTCACCAGAAAAGTTACATAGTGCACCTTTAATGTATCCATAACACAAAATTACCCTTATATTAGAATTGCTGTAGTCAACTCTCAAAAACCTGATGTTCCCATAGTTACAAGTGAAACATAAATAGGTCAATAAATAAATAGTTTGCTCAATCTTCCAACGTAAATTTTGAAACAATTTTCAAACTAATAAAATCCAAATAATTTCCCCTCCTTCTCCTTCTCTCATATTTTTAATGTGTGAAGCTGGTTGTTTCAATTCATCACTCTATTCCTGACCCTCCCTTTTTGCCCCTTCTGTCCAAATCTATCAACTACTCACCATCTGTACCATTGAATATAGGACCTTCATAGGAGCTGGCTACAATAACACTGGAATTCATATACTTGCCTACAGGACAAACTACTTGAATGCTACAACAAAAATAAGATGTGAATGAGCAGAGATGCTTTAAGAGCCATAATTAGTGCAGTTGTGCGGTAGTCCTTTTCCTTGGCATGAATTTTACAGTCTTGACCTCACATATACTCAAATTTAGTACCTCTTTTTGTCAGTGTAAACATGTTATGGCTAGTGGTTTCTGACATCATTGTTATCAAATGACATTATTTACATTGACAAATGCAAGACTACCAACAGGCAAGCATTGATTTATGATATTATATGGCTACCACTTTGTTTTGTTATGTGATTTGGCAGTGAACAAGTAAAGCCATGATAAGTCTTCATTGTCCTCACAGCAAAACAAAATTGGCTCCAAATGCATTTCTGCAAGTCAAATGAAGATGCTAGCACCAAGCTCTGCTCTTCAGCTGTTCAAAAATGTTAAACTTAAAAAATAAATACTATGAAATGTACCTCCCAGAAACACTTTTGCAAATACATTCAGAAAGACTTCCTCCCACCCCTTACTTTCCTAAACCATCTACAGCCCATCACAACTCCAGTCTGGTCCCTGTTTCCGATTCTGTAAAAGAGAAAAGCCTAAAGTAAAGCCTGCATGGAGGCATGGACAGCCGCTCTAGGAGCTGATGATCTGACCCGACCAGGTCTCGTGCTTGGTGCCTGGGTTCAGGTGTGTGATCACCACCTCCACAGCCTGGATCTTCTGGTTCTTGGGAGGGATGGGGCACACTTTGTATGTAACCTCATCTCCTTCCATAGGCACATACTCTCCCTCAATGCTGAAGAATAAAAAGAAAAAACATGACATTCTTATATATCTTATATAAGTAGTTGTAGTGGTAGGTTATAGGTAAAATAGAAATAAATGACTGTAAAAATTTGACTGGCTAAGGACAGAGCCAGTCCCACCTACCAATGTGGCAGGCTCAGGTCAAAATGTCTTGTCATGCTATGAGGCCAGTATTGTGATAAAAGAGAGTGGACCAGAATAGCACATTTTAAAGTATGACATATTGCTAAACCATCTCCCCATTGTAGCTCCGAAAATGTAAACATGATAAATATTAAACCCCAAAATATACAGTCTTATCTGTCCATTAAATCCATAGTAATTACTGTTACAGGCCTAGTTGGGACATGCACTGTGTGACAAGTGGACTCACTCAGAGATGTGGACAAAGATGTCCTCTCCACCATGTGACGGCCGTATGAACCCGTGACCCTGAGACCTGGAGAAGTTTTTACACACACCTTTGTACACTGGTCCTGATCTGGCTCGTACCGTCCTGCACAGAATAAACACAAACATACAAGGTTTGTAAAACATTAGTGATACTTATATATATTATATTATATATTATATTATACTTTGTTTATGTTATTTGCCTTTAAATAATGCTCTTGAGTACCTTTGCTTTGGCATTTCATGTTTTAAAACTTAAAATTATACAATGTATTGAAGGCACAATCTGTGGTCCCTTGTCAGAATTTGGTGTTTGCATGCCATCTACTGGCAACAGTGGGAATTACCATGAAAAGAAAGCCATTAACCAACATGTCTTTGCATAATGTAATGTAATGTAGTTGTAATGAACATGATTTGACTGAACAAGAACAATCCAGGAGACCTGTAGTGCTATGGGGGGATGATTTCTAAGGCACAGAGCAAGATGACTTCAACAACATGATTAATGTAATTAAAAACTGTGAGTGAAGCAAAATACAACAGTTATGTTTATAATGCGGGCACATTATAAGTTCAGTCATAAGGCATTTGAATAACATGTTGTAGTGTATTCTAAATATGACACAACAAGTTCTTACGCTGAGTAGGTGCGAGTGCGCTTGGTGGGCAGGGGGCTGGGTAGTTCTCCAGGCTGCGGTGGTTTCCTCTCTCTCTCCCACACTCGGCTGCCCTCTCTTAGGAAGGGGAAGGACAGGGGCAGGCGGGTGCGGGGAGAGGACAGGGGGGAGGACAGGGGCTCTGCTTGGGAAGCGTCTGGCTCTGACATCTTTTTTGGTACGGGCAAAAAGAAGGCAGAGGACACAGTCTTCTTGATGAATGTAAACACAAGGTTACACCTTTGCCATGGCTGCTGTCCAGTGGGGGATTTGATGAACAATGAGTCCAAAAGGCTGGGAAAAGAATCTGTAAAAGAAAAGTTTGAATAGTGATTTGCACAATTGTCACATCAAGTAACACCACAGGATATATTTGGCTGTCCAACTAGTGTACCATCTGCACTAAAAAAGAACTTAACCAGATTAAAAACATAACAAAAGACATGACTAAAGATCTACAAAGGAGGTCTGTACTACCCCAAAGGAACACAAAATGAATAAACTTGACTTGATTCCTCACAAATGTTTTGTACAAGTGGCATCTGCATCTCAGTTTGCAAACCACTATCCAGACCATGTATATAATCAACTAACTTTAAAGGAACTGTATGTAAGATTTTGATTTTATATTCCATTAACATGACCTAACTGCATCCCCAGATATGAGGTGTTGATGATTATGTTAAAATATAGCTTGTACTGGTAACAATTGTAATGCTAATATTTTCCTAATGCTTAATCAACATATCTGTTATTACTTTGTCTAGAATGTTCTAGAGTTAAACAGAGACGAGGGAGACAAGCAGGTTACAGCACTATGCTACATTACAGTTCAGATTTGTGGAGAGTCGCTCCTGTTCACAGAGAAAATCAATGAATTTTTGAGCAATAGAAACATCCCTTAGTGAATAAATGCTAGATGGATATGTTTAATGTCATACCATGGAATAGTCCGGGCAAAGCAATGACAACTCCAAGAAGACAAGTAAGTAGCTGTCAGTATGGGCTCCATTGTTATTGTAATACCATTTTAAAACTGTAGGAGCACAGCAGGCTACATACAGTTCCTTTAACATTCAAGAGGAGTCTGAAATCTGAACTCCTAAACAAAACACAAGAATCCCATGGCTTTCAGTACATGTTTGTTGAGGCCTAAGCTACAGGGTGAGCAAGTTTTCTACATAATGAGACCAGATGCTTGCTTCGCTGGCAGCTCATATTGCGTTTTTCTGTGATTAAAGCCTTGCTTTCTCACCGGGAGACTCATTACACTATCTTTACAGTTGTTCGGCCCTCGGAGCTGTCACTTGAGGATAAATACGGACTTTCACGCTATGACACTGACCCGATCATCATAACTTACTAAAGGATCAGGGTGGACTCATCTATAAAGCCACTATAAAGAGCTACAATACTGCCAGGGTGACCTCACTACAGCTGTGGTAATGACTGTTGGGTTTGTTTATGTTTTGACCTTGGCAAAATGTAAAATGTAAATCTCCTCCTTTACCTGTCAAAATGTATCAAACACAAAAAGAACCAGGACCAAAACAAACAAAGCTAATTATGGTCATTATTTTTGTAGAAATAAAAATGAGACATTTCGAATTTTCATTTTATGTTTTGCCAATCTCAGATAAAAGCATAATTGTAACGTTTTTAGTTCTTTGTGGTATGGAGACTGGCTTATGTTAAAGGTGTACTATGTAATATTATTGCTTTGGAATGTTCCAAATATTGCATTAAACTGACCTATGTCTGTAGAGAAGAGCAACTAACACCACCAGGCCAAGTTCCAGGTCAGATCTATGGTGATGTCTCCACACTCACAGTAAGACTGCACGATTAACAAGTAATTTTTGACCAGTAAAACCACCTCTTATCAGCTGAATGCAAGATGGCTATGTTTAATGCTACTCTGTGGAACATTCAAGGTGAAGTTATAATATATAAGTTATTATAATTTGTGGAGGCAAGCACATAGAGGATCCTCCACCGGAAACGTTACATAATACATCTTTAAATAATTTAGCTTAATCTATAGGCCTATTGTTCAGTCTTACTATTAATATTGAACATTGCCTATCCACCCTTGAAACATTTTCGTAGCTGTCCCAGTCTGGTCTAGAGAGTCACTTTGTCCAAGAGTTTTAAATCAAATCGTAGACACAAGGATGACGCAACCTTGACAGAGGAGAGACCGGACAGCCAAAAGGACAATAAAGGCTGATTTTGTTAACCTTTTATTAGCTTCGAAATCAGAAAGGTTAAAAGCTTTGGAAAACATAATACCAATAACACTTTGCACCACTGACCTCCTAAAATTATAACAGCTGGGTAATATGACCTTTCTTATATTGATCAGTGGTGGACGTACAGGAGCAATTACCAAAGCAAACAAATACTACAAATACAAATAGCAGATTTTTTCAAGTCATACTTTTTATTTAACTTAAGTATTAATGTACCATTTTAAAATGTAGTATTTTGAACAGATTTTAAGTACATTTTGAAGTTACTGTAGTATTGTAGTTATTTGTAGTTATTTTGATAAAGAAATGTGCTGACATTTGTTCAACAGAAACAACTTAATTTTTCCTAGCTGTTTTTATTTGCATATTTTTGTTTGCTCCAACTTCAAACGTGTTAAAAATAAATCAGCAGGTCACAGGCAATAATAAAAAATACTTTTACTTTTCAGTCCAGTTAAAAAATGTAGTGGAGTAGAAAATACAGACACATGCTCTCAAATGTAGTGAATTAAAAGTAAAAATTATCCACTTATAAGTATCCACTTACCTAAAATGTATTCTCAAGTACAGTACTTTACTACTTTTACTTTGCTACGTTCCACCACTGATATTGATCAATAATGATTTTTTATTAAATTTGAATTAGTCTTATTAAAAGATCACAAAATAATTTTAATAACTGCTGTTTAAAGCAAAACAGAAAAAACTCTCCAAAGTCTGAACTCTGCTCTAAACCATATGCTTTTACTGAGTGGCTGTAGGGATGTGCCAATACCGATTCTGGCAATAAATATTGCTAACGATCCAAGAAATGTTCCTGGACTGGGTATCGGTCCTTTGATATCGGTTAAACCGATATCCTGATTGGACCTTTAAATTGATGTAATGAGACTATTTACTGGCTTGACCCAGAACATCTCATAATATTTGAGCATTTCTTCATATAATGCAGTGCAAGAGTTTCTAGCAGGATAAATAACACTTACATAACACAATTGGATTAATTTTGCATTAAGTTAATAGTGTTTTGAGAGAGCAAAAAGTAGAAAAAAAAGTGATATCAGTATTGGAACGGAAAAAAACTGGATCACTGCTGTATATCTCTACATTATAATAATAATAATAATTTGTGTGTGTTTGTGTGTGTGTGTGTGTGCGTGCGTGTGTGTGTCCTCTGTAAATGTCAACAATGATGTGTTCAGCTGGATGTTTGAACAAGCCTTGTGTGTGTGTCAGTAAGACAAAAATACACAATACATCTTTACCTGTTTGATACACTGGAGTTGGAGTGAATTTGGAAAAGACCAAAGAGACCATATAACTCTAATCCATTCTACTTGTGTCTATGAGCAAGACATTTAGATCTCTTATGCATGATGTTTATGTTGTGTTCACAGAGTTAGTCCTAGTCTCTGCTAAACAAGAATGCCACAATACACTGTTCGAGAGAAGCAGCCCACTTCATATCTTTGGCATGTAGTTCTTCTCATCACTGAAGAATGCATATGCTATTAGTTGTTCCTTGTATTCTTTGAAATGGGGCGGTGCCAGTCAACATACTGCAATAAAGGCACTATAAATAAATACCTTATATAACCCCACTTCTGAGAAAACCTTGGAATCAGCAAAACCTTAAGTAGGCTGAGCACAGATGCTTACTGGGCCCAGACAATGCCGTGTGACCGTAAATGCCTTTTAAAGTGTGATATTTCAGAGTTTTAATGGAAATGGGGTCAAGATAGAAGTTTCTGTCTAATCTATTCTGAAACACTGGTTATGTTTATATACATACGTTATCTAATTTCTAGAGTTAGCAGATTATTGAAATGTCATCTCAACAGTTACATGAGAGTAGTCTGATTTCTCTCTGATTGTTCATACCAGAGAATTATGCAAAAAGGCAAATTAGCATGCCAAAGACAAGAATGAAAAAGAAAATAAGGAGATAACTAGAGTAAATCCAGTTGGTTTAAATGCAGACTCTCTCTGATCTGAATGGTCACTACTTAATCCCCAGAACCTCTAGCCAGTCATTAATCAGTGCTAGTGCAACCTCTGCAGCTCAGTGAGTGAATTCTGGATATTTTGAGCTTTCACATGAGGCATGGCCTATTCATATATTGAGAAAAATCTGTGTATCCTCTATATAGAGGTTTAAGTACAGTAAATACAGTGATTGCAATGACTTTTTAAATCAGTAAGAGCACAAGCTACATACAGTACCCTTAAAGATTCAAAGAGTTCTTTTAAAATCTACTTTGTCCACCAAAATAAAATTAAAATCCACTTACTGACACAAATCATGTCACCGGGTGTTTTTGCTGATCAGATTTCTTTGTGTAAACGCACACCAAACATCTGCTCTTACTACTGAATTATCTGCTTTGTTATCTGATTTTACTGGCCATCTAAATGTGCCCAATGATTGTTTTATCTTCATCTTCTGAAAAATAATGCCACCCATCTCCACAGCGGTGCCACAGCCCAGTGGCATGAGACTGGCACGAGTGACCGGTGACAGGGCATTAATACGCCGCCTCACTCACTCAGCCCACAGACGGTCTAAGCTTATTCATTAGCCCACTTAGACTGACAAGAGCCCCGCTGTAATGGACTTGTGTAATGAGTCCGCACTGTCAAATGATGCTGATGAAACGATTAATCAGGCCAGACTCGTGTCACGCTGCGTTAAAATGTGGCGAGAAAGAGAGAGAGCGCAGGAGACGAGGAAATTCTTTGCAAAGATTAGACAAAAGGCCAAAAGCACCTCCCAGTGAAAGAAAGAAAGCAGGACATTGTGGCTGCATCAGCATGTCAAGCACGTCAGCGCACAAAACACGCCGTACCATCACTACTTACAACTTCAACTAAAAACATTTTGGGTCAGAACGACGTAATTTGGCCAGCTACGAAAGTAAGATATATTTTACGAAGCACTGTCGTCTTTCGGGAACGTTCTACACACAGCAAGTGCGAACAAGGATGCTCTCCAAATGAAAGATCCAAGCGTGTCAACTAACCACGCTAAGCCAACACTAAAGACTGTAGTGGCACGTTACGATCGGGTGATGTTAAAATATCTGGATGGAGGCTATTGTCGGAGGGGAGCGAGGTTAAACGATTAAAAGGCAAGCGTGCGTAATATCCGACAACAAATCGTGCGTAATTCAATAAACAAGCCACTTACCACGAAAGCTCCGAGCGGATGTCAGTCACTCGCAGGACGCACGGGTATACGGCGTGATATAAAGGCAATTATGTAATAAAATCCCGTGGAAGCACCAAGGACATGTGTTGAATGAGTGAGCGGGTCTTGGCGTGGATGGATGCGGCGGGATGGGGATGGAGCGAGCAGCAAATGAGGAGCGAGGCAGCGGCGGTGGGGCGGGGGTTAGCGCTAAAAACAACGGGAGGCATCATCAAAACGCACTACCACACAACAGGCTTTGTTCTGCTTTGTACGTTTGGAAAAGACACCACTCAAGAACCTATGGATTATGGATAATTTATTAAATGTGCATGGAAGATGTGAAGAGAACAGTCAGCTCCTTTATTTTGTTACTGCTTTTTGTTTTGTTTTGTGAGAATTAGACTTTGTAAATGGCGGAGGCATACAGTACTGTATTTCCAGATTTTAAAACATTAACAGTATCCCCTTTTTCAAAGTTTAATCTCTGCTTGTGGCATGTAATTAAACATGCAGTGACAGCATCTCTGAGCCAAGATATTTTAGACTCACCAAGTACACAGCATTTTCTGAAAATTACAGTTTGTGGTTTGTGTTGTGCCCTGGTGTAATGAAAAACCTGGCTACACCAAACTAAAGTCGCTTTCTTAGTTGCATTTAGAGTAGAGTTGTATCTTAGATGTTATAGTTTTATGAGTTACAATGCAAAAAGGACACCACCTCATACAAGTTGAAGTAAATAAAGGAGAGATTTATTTTTATTGTACAATCCATAGGCATTTCTGCAACACAGAAAGATCATGTGGGAGAAAACACAATTACTTCACTGTACATGGGCCCAGAAATTTACAGTTAGAAGCAGCTGACAAACAGTAATGCAGATATATATTTATAAAGGAGCCACCGTATACATTGTCTTTGTCATCTGAATTAGCACGATGTTATTATCCCTTTGTCTATTATAATTTGATGTTATAGTGAGATGGATTTACAAGGAAGAGTGCTGATAATTTGGAAAATCCTCACACAAATTCTGCTTGAACAAAAATGAACATGCAGAATCAATCAGTAATCATAAATAAATACAAAACAGGAAGATCCATATGGTGTGCTTGACCTTAAAACCAGGGCAGAGGCAATGAGGAGGTCGGCTAATTGTGGGTTAGAGTGATGAAGGGTTGGGGGTTCCCAAAATAGACTTTGGAGTGTGTTGCGTGCCAAAAATAAACACTGCACTGAATGAATGCAATCTGATTCTGACATATGACAAAACTACAGTAGCGAATTTGCTACTGAAATGCGCAATGCAAAGTTACTTAAAACAAAACGGCTGACAAAGCACTACAAGTGAAGTGTCCTCTTTGCTATGTGGACATATTTAGACAGCTGCTCACATCAGCTGTGTTATGTCACTATACAGGTCAAGGATGTGTCTATAGTGAGCTCTTTTGTTTCCACTCTGACTTAAACTGTGGTCCAGCAGCTGACTAGTGGTTACCCTCCATTCTTGACATTAGCTAGGCACTTAGTCTGAAGTCATTAAACTGCTAACATTTATATATTCTCTCTAAAACTGTCATACTTCAGTCTAGTGTGTTAATGCAGATATGGACAACTCATTTACAGCTTGTACAATCTTCCTCTGCCCACAACTTGCGCGACCCTGTTACCCCTGGTACTTCTCCACACTGCTCAGTGCTGCAGCTCCTTCATCCTGTTAAGAGCTGAGCCCGCCTTGAACCATTCGATCTGTGTCTCGTTGAAGGTGTGGTTGAGTTCAATTATGTCCACTGAGCCGTCGCTGTGCTTCACCTCTGCAGTGAGGGGCTGGAGAGGGGAAAGCCAAAAAACATTCATTCATTTGAGCTTTTGTGGAACACCTTTTGTATTCTTTTCCCAGTTACTGAAAAAGTCACTGGAAAAGTGACACCTCTCAAGAGGTTGTAATGAGACTACCCTTTAGAAAGAGCTTTAAAAGCTGTGTTCTCACCTTTCCTGGAGCAAATGTTTTAAGTCCTTTGATTGAGATTTTGTCATCTGGGTGAATCTTGTCATAGTCTGATGGGTTGCTAAAGGTAAGTGGCAAAAGTCCCTGCTTCTTCAGGTTAGTTTCTAAGAAACAAGATGATTGTTTAATGTTGAACAATGCAGCAGTACAAAACAGGACATTGTGTTGATAAATACCATGAATGCGAGCAAAGCTCTTGACAATAATTGCTCTTCCTCCCAAATGTCTTGGCTCAAGTGCTGCGTGTTCTCTGCTAGATCCCTCACCGTAGTTGTCATCTCCAACAGCAACCCATGAAACACCATTGGCCTGCAGAAAAACCCCCAACATGTTTTATGTTTGTTTTGTTTTTTTTTTAAATAGAGGAAAGATCTCAGCCCATAAAGGTCTTAATACATTAATAAATCAATAAAACCAAAGTTCAGTGTAATTAACTGGCACGTCCCATAATGTTTTATAACACAAATCGTGTTCTAGCAGATCTTTGTCCTCCTTGCATACCTTATAGTGACGGGCCACATCTGGCACTCCTCCGTATTCTCCCGTCAAATGGTTCTTGATCTTGTTGACAGCGTCATTCTCGCTATTCACTGCTCCGATCAGCATGTTGTTTGAGATGTTGTCCAAATGACCACGGAACTTCAGCCATGGTCCTGCCGCACTGATGTGGTCGGTGGTGCACTTACCTTTCACCTGGACAACAAGACCATGAACAAGACATCAAACAAACCACATTTTATATAGAGTTGGCCATATTGAGAAAGTCAGCTTGATGTAGACTAACCTTTATCAACACTTGCATATCTTCCAGGTCTTTTCCACTCCACTTGTCGAAGGGCTCCAGTAGTTGTAGTCGATTGCTTGTTGGACTGACATCTACCTTGAGGCCACTGCCGTCTCCTGGGGGGTGCTGGTAGGTGTCCTGGCCTGGGTCGAAGTCTTTAGCGGGCAGCTCATCTCCGTACGGGGGCTTCAGCTTGAACTTCTCACCACTGGGGGCTGTGAGATAATCGGTCTCTGGGTTGAAGTCTAGTGTACCGGCAATGGCAAGGGCTGTGACAATCTGAGGATAAAAATAAAGAATATAATTCAACATCAATTAAGTCAGAATTTGTGATTGAGCTAACTTTGCCTTTATACCTCAGGGGATGTAACAAAAGCATGTGTAGCTGGGTTGGCATCATTTCTGGCTGTGAAATTTCTGTTGAATGAAGTCACAATTGTGTTCTTCTCTCCTTTCTTAACGTCTCGTCTGAAATCATGAATTAATCCAGTTAAAACTTAAACTTGACATATCTTTTTAAAAAATTGTATTCAACATGAAACAAATTCTGTACCTATCCCACTGTCCAATGCAAGGGCCACATGCGTTGGCCAAAACAATACCTCCAACATCATGAAAGATCTTTGACTGCCAATAAAAAACAAAGATTTAAGTATCCTCCATTGCCTTGAAGTTGGCCAAAAATGCATTCTCTTACATATCCATCTCTCTCAATAGTGGCACGAATCTGCTCAGAGCCAGGGGTCACTGTGAACTGGGCCTTGCACTTTAGGCCCTTGTCCAAAGCCTGCTTGGCCAATGAAGCAGAACGACCCATGTCCTCGTAGCTGGAGTTGGTACAGCTGCCAATTAGCCCTACAAACAACAACAAAATGTAATACTATATACAAAAATACAATGTTAGTTGCCATAGATAGAGAAGTGAAATGTCTTACCAACTTTGACCTCTAGTGGCCAGTCTTTTTCCTTGGCTGTGGCACCAATAGACGCAACAGGGTGGGCATAGTCGGGGGTGAATGGTCCATTGATGTGGGGCTTCAGCTAAAATGCAATATAGAACAGTAAAGGTTATAGGTTGTATGCAAAAGGTCTTTAAGTAATTTCAAAATGTTTAACCACCTCATCCAAATTGAGCTCAATGATCTGATCATATTCACAGCCTTCGTCCGGCACCAGCAAGTCTGCATTTTCATCAGCAAGAGCAGCAATTTCTAAAGACAATAAGGAAATGTTAAAATATTTCAATATTTATTGAAATTAATAGAAAAAATTAAATCAAAATCGGTTTATACATACGCCCACGTCCAGTCTTTTCCAAATACTTCCTCATTCTGTGGTTGTAGGGAAACACTGATGTGGTAGCTCCAATCTCTGCTCCCATGTTGCAAATAGTAGCCATTCCTGTATTATAATGTAAACATGTTAAGTAAATTTGTAAGAAAGACTTGTACTCTTATATACTCTTGTATATTTTCTAACCAGTGCAAGAAATTGAGTCAACTCCTGGTCCAGTGTACTCTACAATGGCTCCAGTGCCTCCTTTGACAGTCAAAATGCCTGCCACTTTTAAGATGATATCCTTTGGAGAGGTCCATCCAGAGAGGGATCCTGTCAGCTTCACTCCAATAACCTGTACAAATATAATGTTATCAAGTTCTGAGGATAAAGCAACATGTAAATCTGATGATCTTACCTTAGGACACTTGAGCTCCCAGGGGATTCCAGCCATGACATCTACAGCATCAGCACCTCCGACTCCGATGCAAATGGCACCAAGCCCACCACCGTTAGGTGTGTGGGAATCTGTGCCAATTAACATGACTCCTGGGTAGGCATAGTTCTCTAGTATGATCTAAGGGGGCAAATTGAAGTTATAGGATTTTTTTTTGCTATTTAATTTCCCGTAACATTATTGTTGAATTGAATGAGCTACATACCTGATGGATAATTCCAGAACCTGGTTTCCAAAAGCCAACACCATATTTAGCACCAGCACTAGACAGGAAGTTGTACACTTCTTGGTTAATGTCCTGTAATCAAAACACATTAGATTAAATTGAGATTCACAACAGCAACATTGTATCCACTAATGTCAGTGTTTACCTTTGCTCTGGCAAGATCCTTCTCTCCTCCGATCTGGGCCTCTATCAAGTGATCACAGTGAATGGTGGAGGGCACAGCCACCTTTGGAAGGCCACTGCTGATGAACTGTAGCATGGCCATCTGAGCTGTAGCGTCCTGCATGGCCACACGGTCTGGGCGCAGACGGAGGTAGGTGCGCCCGCGGTCAATTTCCTGGTTGTGGGCGTCATCGAGATGGCCGTATACAATCTTCTCTGACAAAGTGAGGGGCCGGTTTAGTCTGAAAATATATGTAAATATATATATTTTTTTAATGTTGGACTTTTGTGTGTTAAAATGAAAAGTATGCCAAAGGTCAGACAGGGAAGCCTAGATCAAACAGGAGAGATAAGGGAGTGTTGGGGACTATAAGCCTAACTGTAATATGGGACAGAGTAATACCGTATTGAGAACCACTGACCTTTTCTTCACAATGTCCACATTGGAGCGGAGTTTACCGTAGTTGATGTAGGACGTGGGTTCAAAGCGGCTCATGGACACTTGAGCCTTGGCTCTGTAAGCAGCTGACACATGCAGGCGGCGGGCACCATGGCCCAAAGCCAGCTGAAAACAACAACATTGTCAACAATGAATGAAAAACAATCACAGGTGAAAAATACATGTAGTGGAGAATAAGCGGCGTTAACTCATGTTGATCGAGCCGGAAATCGTTTTATAATACTAGTCTGTCCCATGATATTTTTATGGGTGAAAAGGGACAACGTGTCACCTCATTTAACCTTCAGAAAAATGGTCTTTAATCCAGCTATAATGATAAAAAATCATAAACAAATACATGAAATATATCTCAACTGTCATCAGCCGCGTTAATTTCACTATTTCAGACGGATGAATATGTTTATTGATAATGCCAACTTGGCTCGGCTGACTGTGGGTTGAATGATCAAGTAATACAGGAGTGTAGAACACGTTTAAACCTTTGATAAGTTGCAGATTGAGAGAAAATATATTACTTGAAATTACTGTCTAAGAACGTTTGGTTTGGCCGTGAACCGCTACTCGCGTCAGTGACCACTACGAGCACTAACCTTGTGTTAACCTTGCAACTTAGCATCTAATAGTACATGCCTAGCTGGAGAAACTGTGGTACAAAGCTGTAACGGATAGAACGGTAGCTAACGGCTATCTAACAGGGGAAATATCCGCGTATAAATGCATTTAAGATAACCTCGTAGCGCAATGGTTGTGCTCAGGACACGATGACCTGAGCAAGGAGCCGCGGAGAAATTTTAAAGCTCATCCTACCTCGGCCTAGGTCAAATTATAAAATAACGTCAAGACGTTTACATTACAATACACTAACAATTTCGATATTTATACAAGACATCCTTATAGAACGCAGCAAAAAGCTAAAAAGTATATTTTTGTTGCTTACCTGGAGCCGGGTGACAGTGAGACAGTAGGTTGCCATTTTGTTCACTGACAAAGATGTGACCGTCAGTTGTGACGTCACACTTATATAAAGGCCAATGCCACAGGTCCTGCAAGAACTATAAAATGTATTTTAAATGTTTTATTATTTTGGACGCTTCAAAACGATTGCACACCACAGGAGGTTATGTTAATAAGTAGTAACCAAATTAACCAATAGTATATCACTATATACGCCATATAATGGGTGATAATATACATTATCATAGAATGCAAACATTAAAGAACATGATAGGATAATAATAATAATAATAATAATAATAATAATAATAATAATAATAATAATAATAATAATAATAATAATAATAATAATAATATAATAATAATAATTATTATTATTATTATTATTATTATTATTATTACTGATTGGAACACCTACAGCAAACAGGGACATTTTTGTTTCTTTATGCACAGATTATATGTTGTTTATTGTTTTCAGATCATTTAGAAATGTTTGCAAATGATCTATTCAGAGAAAGTGGGATAAAAATGGGAAATCAGTTAGTTTGAAATGATTTACACACACCATGCGCTAGGTGGCGATACTGCTGGTCCCCTACACAGTTTGGAGGTTAAAGGGTAAAGTGGAGCCGCTGAAGAGCGCTTGCTTAACGTTAGCTCATTATGGCTAAACATCATCCAGATTTAATTTTTTGCAGAAAACAGGCAGGCGTCGGTGAGTTTTTTATATTGTACAAAGTATACACTATACAGGATACGTATTTATTTAACGTTTCAACTGCAATTTTAGGCATCGTTAAATAAGAAACGACAGCGTGGGCTTCACTATGCTAACAGTAGTCAGCCAAAACTTGCATCTTGGATTTAAAAAAAAAAACATACATATGATGATGTGTTTGATATGCTATAAGCTCTTGTTAATATTTGTCTAATGTTTGACATTAAAGCTGGCAGTTAGTTTTAATTTTATTTGACTAACATGATCTATTTCTTTTTCAGCTATTGGTCGACTGTGTGAGAAATGTAAGTACAACTCTGTCTCTTTTATAGCGGCTTTCATCCATCATCATCATCATCATCATCATCATCATCATCATCATTATTATCATCATTTTGCACATCTTATTATCAATGTATGTTGAAGGGCTGTGTGTTGAATTAATGTTTACCAGCAGTAAAGGAGACTAAAACAAGTCCAACCAAACTTGGTTTTACTAGTGATGAAGCAGGAATATGTTATAAAACCAAATGTTATATCAAATGACTGTTTTTAATCAACACATTTGGTTATAAAGTTGCCCACAGTTAGTCTTTATTTGCAAGAATAGAAATTGGAAAACATGTTTTGTCTGTGTTGATAATTGTATTTGATTTTTTCAGGTGATGGAAAGTGTGTCATCTGTGATTCTTATGTGAGGCCATGCACACTTGTCCGCATCTGTGATGAGTGCAATTATGGCTCCTACCAGGGTCGCTGTGTCATATGTGGAGGGCCTGGAGTCTCAGATGCCTACTACTGCAAAGAGTGCACCATCCAGGAGAAAGATGTGAGTCTGCACTTTAATATGATGAGATCACTATACAAAATGTGCATTCACTCTCTAAGGTTTGTACAGAACAGGGCTGTGTATGTCTGAAACTCATTTCTGTGTTTTTTATGTAGAGCGGCGCACTGTATTGGCCATTGTTTGGTCCTTTTTTATTTATCATTTTGGGTACAGGTTGGCCATGCAGAGTTTATCAGCAATCTGCTGCTCTGGATTCTAAAGAAATCAACTATTGTACATGTGTGAAATATGAACCTTTTACAAATCCTACTAGGTGTGTAAACTGGTGTCTTCTCTTTCTGCAGAGAGACGGCTGTCCAAAGATTGTGAATTTGGGCAGCTCCAAAACAGACCTGTTTTATGAAAGAAAGAAGTATGGCTTCAAGAAGAGGTGAAGACTCCTGCAACGAAGCCTTGTTTTAATTTTTCAGCTTTTGCAACACCCACCTTTTTTTGCTAATAAAACATTTATACATTTGTCATTTCTGATGTTGACTACTTTTTGAAACCTTTCATGTTAAGTCCTCATCTGTACGATTTATAAGTAGTTTACCCAGCCCTGTGGTATTTTCACCTTCTATATGCAGATAAAAGACCAGAGACAACAGGTGAGCCTGAACAAAGGCCAAGTGAGAGAAGGGAGGAACAGATTTCACATCTGCCATCTACTGTTAAGAGGGGGTGATAAAATCAACCAAACCTACAAATGCTAGCTTTTCAAGAATCACTCAACTCTCAAACACATTTAAACAACTTTATTACATACCATTATACAATAGAGAAAAGTTTTTACTCTTCAAACTATTTTACAAAAAATAAAGACAGAGGTTAAAAAAACACATTTTACAGTTAACAAATTGACCTGTTTATAAAGGCAAGATAATAAGCAGAAAGATGTAAATGTGTAAAACATCTAAGGAAGCAATTTTTGTCTAATTATAATGTCACCAACTATGCCTTAACTTAAGAGGACTACCTGGACATTCTGACAGTACATTTATTCCTTTACAAGTTATTGTACTCATTTATGGAAGCTCACAAACAACTTTCCCTTTAGACAGGATGCATTTTCAAAGCAGATGGTGCAATACACAAACCTATAATCTAGCAGACAGGAAACTGCATTGAAATGGCTTTGACAGAGAAGACACTTGGAAAATACTGTGGGTACACACTGCCACACAGCAGTCTGCGAGTACATAGATCTTCCGCAACTGTGTCATATTTGATAAAAATAGTTTGTCATTTGACGTGGAGTTATGCAAGTTGAATATAATACATGTTTTGAATGGCATTTTTTGTCTTATTTTGATTCATTTTGGAATTGTAGGGAACATACATGTCTGATGCTGTAATAGAGATCATGAATGGATGAACACGTTAATTCCAGTTACTTGAAAATGGCATACAAAACATGACTCATGTTCTGAATTGATACAGAATAATAAAAATAAAAGCATACTATTAGCTTATTTACATGTCATGCTTTAGACAGACAAGGACAGACATTGCATGGCACCAGAGCAACCGTGAACATATGTACAGCTCTGTGCCATTTATCATGCGCAACTGTTAATTATTCATTGTGAACATGGTACACCGTAGCGTAGCCTTGTCACGAAATTCCCCTGAAGAAGTTAACTGGAATTGTCACAGTCAAACATTTAGTGGGCAAAATACCCAAGTTATCATAATCTACAATATCGTAACTAGAAATAGAAATTACTTTTTGAAAAAAAAAAAAACAAAAAAAAAACACATTGAAGACAACAATAAACTAGTGATCTAAAAATCAATAATCAACCCCATATTTAACCCAAACCAACTATGATCTCATTAGGCCAAAGACTTACAAAACATGATGCGTACACAATGTTAATATGTGTACTGAAGAAGCACTTCTCAGAACTTAAATGAATAGATAATGCATGAAAAATAAACATTCTTCTCTTCTTACTCCTCTTCAAAGACCAATATGATTTATTTAAACATCTGAAAAATAAATCGACTTGTGGTCTAAAGGTCATCCGTCACAGCACTTGAAAGAGAAAAGAAGATCAATCAATGACGTTAATGCATTCGATTTTCTTTCGCTATATAAATACATATTATGTTATTGTTTTATGTCTTGTGTAGCACTTTTCTAAACTGTACAGAGATGAACAGTGATGTAGGTGCAGCTGAATGAATGGCTGCTTCGGATGAAAAACTATATAATGGTTAAAAATATATATTTTTTTTAAAAGGCAAAAAGTTGTCATAAGCTTATCTGCCTCTTCTTTGTAAAAAGGATGTAGGTAGTTGTATTTATATCAGCAATCTTCTGGGTCACCTGATTATTTGTTTTCGATTTTTCGTTTCTGTGTGTTCTTAAAGACTTCTTTTTAAACCATGATGGATATAAAAGAAAAAAAGGTTTAAAAAGTTACCAGGACTACTGATCACAATGTGTGAATCACCATGGGAACCAGGTCTAAACCGGAAAGGAACAGTTTACATGTTCTGTGTATTATGCCGTTGTTGTTTTTTGTTAGTGCCTTACAGTGTTCCAAATTTAGCTTCGTATCGTCCCACAATATTCTTGAAGCGGCCACACTCCTTCCTCAGCTCAGCCACCTCGGTCCGCAGGGCAGTGTTCTCCCTCTCTAAGAAGGCTGCTCGCACTGTGATCTGGTTCTCCTTCAATCGCCGAGCGTCTCGTGAGCGTTTGGCCGCCATGTTGTTCTTCTTCCTCCTCTGCCAGTACTTCTCATCCTGCAGACAGAGAGGCACTGTTAAGACTCACACCACTAAAGATGGCAGGGCATCTGAGGCAACTGGACACTAAAATTATCACATGACACCCTTGCCACCTTTCAACTACCTCATCTACTGTATGTACTCATTCTAAAAATAAATATAATTAAGTATCTAGGTCTTTAATAATATCTTACATTAAATGGTTGTAATCGTGCGGAGTACAAAAATTACATCCTGTTAGTGTGTAAACAAAACCAGTCTCCTCTTGAGTGGGAAAAAGAAATCCATCTCATGAGATGCAAACTGCTGAGTCACTTTGACTCTGCAGTCCACTTCCTGCCACAAAGACCCTCTTTATCTGATAGATGGAGTTTTCTTGCTTCAAACAGCCAATAAAAAGACATTCCAGTGGCACAATTAGCTTTGTAAACATTTTTAAGGGTACAGGATTCACTTAACCTGTGGTACATGAACCAAAATGACTATTGCGTGCCAAGCAGACAGTGTACTATGTCAATTATTTAGCAGACGATAATTGTACTGCAGATGGAAATGAGCTTCCTAAGACAGAGTCTCATACTAGCATTTCTGCCCCCGGGCATTGTGTAACTGTACATTGTCCTGATAAATGAAGGAATGTGTCAAAGCGATTACTGACAAGGTGTAAACAAGTGCCTTCAGCTCCATTAGACTTTAGAGAAAAGACTATTGTGAGTCATCAGTGTGGGATTCATTTGTCTTTTGTTTTGCTCATAGTGGCCCCACCTTTTGCCACCTCTGAGCAGTCTTAAACTCTCCTCTCATTAAACTTAACAAGACACCAAACCAAACAAAATTTGTTAATCAAATGCAGTTAGACTGAAAACATTCACACACCTTCTGTTCCTCTGGAACAAACACCTTCTTGGCCTTCTTTATCATGGGCTGTGGCTTGAGCTCCTCCTCACTGAACTTGTGCTTGCGTGGGTCAAACAGCTCTCCTCCTGGGACACTGGACAAGACCAGGTCTGTGGGGTCGGGCTCATAGTTTACATTCACCTCAATCTCTTCTGGGTTGACTGGTTCAGGGGTTATTCTGTCTTTTTCAGTGGTCACTTCTGTGAACAAATGACTGCATGTCAGGCACAAAATATGGAGAATATAATTATCAAAACATCATGACTAGGAACCACACTATGCCTTGTTATATCATCATAAATTGTAGAGTTTGCAAAGTGCTGTGGTGAAGGTCAAATCAGGTAACAGGGGCTGGGTTGGCACACTCACCTGCAGTTATGTCACAGGTGACATCTGAGTCTGACTTGGTAATGATCACTACCTCCTCGGAGCACTGCTCGAGCTGTTGAATGGGGAGCAGGGGGACCTCTGGTGTTTCGGTAACCTCTGATTTCAGCCTCTTGTCTGCCTTTGAGGGGCTGGACTCCTGGGACATATCGTCACTGTCGGGTGAGGTAGGAATTCCATTCTCCATGAGGAATTCCTCCAAGTCCATGTACTCCAAGTGGAAGTTCTCGCCATCATACGGGATGGTCTTGTCCCAAATAGCAGGAGTAAGAGCTGCAGTCGGACCAATGCTGCT